AGATGTAAATTAGCCATCATGAAAAATCCTCTCCCTTTTGGATCTCCCTCCCACCACTCCCATCCCACCCATCTAGGTCATCACAGAGCTCCCCATGCTATATAGCAGGTTCCCGCTGTCTATCTATTTTACACATGGTAGAGTGTATGTGTCAATCCCAATCTCCCCATTCATCCCACCCTCTCCTTCCCCACTGTGTCCACATGTCTGTTCTCAACATCTGCAAAATACAAGGAGGTGTGAAGAAAAAGAGAAAATGGCTATGGCACAGAATGAAACTGGGTAGAATATTTGAAGTGAAGTCTTAAGAAACCTGGACCATCTGGTTGCAGTGTCCCTAGGAGAGGGCAGATGAGGTTAGTGGCCACAGAAAGGAGCCAGTAAAGAAAAGCATGGAAAACTGTATCTCTGCTTGGGGTATCATCAGGGTAGTAGGACAGTGTGTGTGTGTGTGTGTGTGTACTAGTCCCTCAGTTGTGTCTGACTCTTTGTGATCTCCATGGACTGTAGCCTGCCAGGCTCCTCTGTCCATGGGATTCTCCAGGCAAGAATACTGGAGTGGGTTGCCATTTCCTTCTCCAGGGCATCTTTTTGACCCAGGGATTGAACTGGGTTCTCCTGCACTGCAGGCAGATTCTTTACCATCTGAGCCAGCAGGGACCCAGTAGAATAGAGACTAGCGCTCACACACACATAAAATACCACTCAATAATTACTTATCTGTCTTATGTAAAGTTCATAAGGTAACATGAAAAAATAGTTGGGAGAAACAGTAAGAATATGAATGAATCTTGAACTTGTTATTTGATTGACTTGTTCTTACTTGTTCTATCTAATCTAGACCAGCAATCAAGCAAATCTTGGCTGTCTAGAGTTCCTCCCCAGCAGGCATTGCACATTTCTGGAACACCAGGAGAAGTACAATGAACAACCACTGTGGTTATAGTCATTGCCTTGGTGACCCCATGAGATTCTAAATTTTATTTAAACTTTCTAGTTATTTCTCCCATCTACGGTCACCTCACATCTCACGATTACCTCCTATTTCACAATTACCTCTGAAAATCAACTCAAAATCCAATATTAATAATACTATTTTTACATTAACTATTCAAAAAGCATTTTTATGTACATTAGCTCACCAAACACCTTATAATTGTTAGGTAGAAGTTATTATCTTAATTTTAAACTTGAGGAAACTAAGAAACAAAACCTTAGAAAATTCAAGGAAACATGATCAGAACTCACATTTTTTTGAGCACCTATTTTGTGTTAGATCCATCGCATATGCCCAGATTCACAGAGCTGGTAAGGGTCAGAGCAGAGACTATGCCTAGTTCTCTTGGAGATTTTAAGGTGGTGCAATTTCCACGACAAGCCAATCTACCAGTTGTTGTTCATTCACCTGAGAAAGCTTCACTTTGAGTATTGGAACCAAAATTAGAGTTCTTATTCTTCAAATGATTGAAAAACAGCTGAGGTCAACCTCCCAAAGGCAATAATGTTTCTATTCCAATTCATAAAGTCACCAAGCAGATCTGAAGGACACTTCTTTGTTTTGTTTTCATTGGAGATGAAGATGTTTTTCCTTTATAATTTCTCTGGAGGGGTTCAAGCATTTAGAGGGATAAATTACCTCTGGCTTTATGTGTCCAACATCATCAAACTACCCCATGCAGATATTTTGTTATTAAAATGAGCCCTGTGTGTGAAGTCATTCTATCTTGTTACAGTGGACATCAGGGCAAACTATTTAGAATGAATTGAAATGAATAACTTAATGAAAAAGAAAAGAATATCCTTTCAGGATCCCTGGATACACTAGTCCCGTTCTTTTTTTCTGGCTTCTCCTTACTTCTTCTTTCCACTTTTGCATCATTTTGACCCATTCACCCTCATGGCTTATTCCTTCCTTTCCATTTCACAGTAGCTGTAATGGCAGCCTAACGGCACACAAGCAGACTTTGTCCTCTGAAATAGATGGCGTGAAAGACAGGAACTGCTGTTGTCCTGTCCACCATGGACACCAGGAAATGCCTTGCTTTCTACCCATGAACCTAGGCCAACAGGCTGGCAGACAGGAAGAGGTCTGTGCTCCCTGGCTGAGCCACACAGTCAGGAGTGCCATGGAGTGCCCCTTCCACTCCTTCTTTGTTCTTCAGTGAACTGGTTAGCCTACAGCCTTGCTGCTCAAAGCATAGGCCAAGGCCTGGCATCGTCAGCATCACCAGGCAAGGCTCAAATGAAGAACCTCCACCCCATACCGTGGTATCAGGATTTGCATGTTAACAAGATCCCCAGGTGATTCGGATGGGCATTAAAGTTTGAGAAGCCCTGGTATATAGGGCATTCTCTCACCCACAGACACATTTTCTTTTTTGTGACTTTGAGACATGATTCAACAGAAATCATATACCACACTGAGATATATCTTAGTGGAAATTATGCCCCTACGTATAACTGGGTACACTAAGACCAAATAGAAAACAAGTTTAACTTAGAACTTTGAGCTCTTTGCCGATATATTTTTAATGCTCCGAATAGATTGGTGAATTTCCTTGTTGCCATGACTTGACACCTCTTGTAGAGAAATATTCAAGCTAGGGGAATAATCAGAAACAACTTATTCAAACACCAACCCAAATCTTGCTACGTGGCAATTTTTAGAACCTCTCATACAGCTTCTCAGGCAAAAACATACTATAAATTCCCAAATCAAAAATCACAGATAGTCAAGCAAATTAAATTTCTTATCATATTTCTTTAGTTGTTTTCACTATGTTTATGCACATTGTCTTAACTGCTGAACTCCCTGAGAAGCTGCATTGGATGCTTTGCCCTATTCTTTCTCATTTGAGATTTTTGGTGATAACATAATTAATTTAGAATATAATATCTTGATTTTTCCATCATTCCAAAGCTATGTTCTTTTTAAGCGCTCTGAAAATCTCAAGGTTCTTTAAACTTTTCCTCCCCTGTGATCTTAAGTTCAAGCCAAACGGTTGGATTTATCCTCCTATCACTTCACCCTGAGAGAATTCTGTCAGAAGCAGTATTCGGTTTGTAAGCAAAATAGGAAAATGTCAGCAATATTCTCATATTCCCTTAAAATAATTTCCATAATATAATATTGAGGTTTACTGCTTGATACCTTACAGGCTTGGATATTAAGGATCAGTGTTTATTTCTGAGCATCTATTTCATGAGCAAAACAATTACTTGTTCTTTTCAGCATTTTCCAAAGACAGTAGCTTTATTCTCTAAATACTTTAACAAAAAACAGAATTTTCTGACTGATCATTTATGTTTATATGATAAGTCAGTGGCCCAGGCATGATTTAAGAAGGTAATGCCCTTTATTTTTTAATATTATTATTGTTATTTTACTTGAATTAACTTCTGTTTCTAAATGTTTGGTTGATCTCACAATATTTTATTCACTTAGTCAAACTTCCATACACTAACATGAAAACCTATTCAAAGGGGTTATAACATTGGGCCCAGAGTACTTGACTCCTATTTTTGTATCTAACTACTAGTTAGAGATAAGTATTTATATTGCACAGAGAAGGCAATGGCAATCCACTCCAGTATTCTTGCCTAGAAAATCCCATGGACAGAGGAGCCTGGTAGGCTGCAGTCCATGGGGTCACGAAGAGTCGGACACGACTGAGCAACTTCATTTTCACTTTTCACTTTCATGCATTGGAGAAGGAAATGGCAACCCACTCCAGTGTTCTTGCCTGGAGAATCCCACTGATGGGGGAGCCTGGTGGTGGGCTGCCGTCTATGGGGTCTCACAGAGTCGGACACGACTGAAGCAACTCAGCAGCAGCAGCAGCAGCAGCAACAGGTGACACAAAAGAATAAGATAGTAACAGCAAGGAATTCTCTGGTTGTCCAGTGGTTAGGACTCTGCAGTTTCACTGCCAGGGCATGGTTTGATCCCAGGTGGAGAACTAAGATCCCTCATGGTGAAGTGTGGCCAAAAAAAAAGATAGTAACAGCTACCTGGGCTACCAGTGTCAAGCTAATTGAGCACTTTTCCTGGGTAATGCACTGTGTTTAGCCTTTGACACGTATCATTATCTAATTTACAACAGTTTCATTCTACAGAGGAGAAAAATGAGGCTGGGAAACTTCAGTAACTTGGAATTAGTATTCAAACCAACAACTCATACCAAAAGTATGCTCTTTATATAGTACTGCCTGCCTGATAGTGAGTGAGTGAAAGTCGCTCAGTTGTGTCCAACTCTTTTGACCCATGGACTATCTTCAGTCCATGGAATCCTCTATGCAGAATATTGGAGTGGGTAACCATTCCTTTCTCCAGGGGATCTTCCTAACCCAGGGACTGAACCCAGGTCTCCGGCATTGGGAAGCCCAAGAATACTGTACAGTATTGCGGTAGATTCTTTATTTTTTTTTTTTCTGTGGCAGATTCTTTACCAACTGAACCTCCAGGGAAGCCCTGCCTGATAGTAAGGGATAGAATATTCATTTTCTTTTACTTTGTAAAAAACCTGTTGTCTACTATTTTACTTATTTTTTTTTTCTTACAGCTTTGTTGAGATACAATTGACAGATAATGTTGTGTGAGTTTAAGATGAACAAGGCATACAAAGTATTGATTTGTCACATTTATATAGGATCAAATGATTACCATAGATAATACTTCCATCATGTCATGTAATTATCGTTTTCTCTTTGTGGTGAGAGCATTTGAAATCTACCTTCTTAGCAACATTCCTTTACTCTAGATATTTCAATCCAAACCTCTTGAGAACCAGAATGATGTTACCTAATTCCTTTGTGAGTTTCCCCAGTAGCTCAGTGGTAAAGAATCCAATACAGGAGACTCGGGTTCAGTCCCTGGGTGAGAAGATCCCTTGGAGAGGAAATGGCAACCCACTCCAATATTCTTTTTTTTTCTGCTGCTTGTTGAGTAAGTTTATTATTGTGATTATCTGAAAAATCTTGACAGAAAATTGTGGTTTGGTTTAACTCTTGGCAGCCCATTCCAGAGCTCTAAGGGAGCTTGCCTTTTTCTCAGCTACCCAATCTTTCTTCTGGGCAAGTGACATTTTGGGACGGTTCCACCTCTTCTTTTTAACTTCTTTCTTAGGCTTCTTCTCATACACTGGATTCTCTTGTATTGCAGCATGAGCTTTCTTACACATCTCCTCCAACATGTCTGGAGCTACGTTCGTTATGTACTGAGAGAATTGTTTCTTATAAGCATCCTCATCTTCTTCAATCAGGTAATGCATGTAATCTACAGCTTTCTGCCCCATGATGTGCTTTTGGTGTACCTCAGCACTGAATTCTTTGCTTTCTGAGTCATAACCGGGGACCCATTTGTACTGTGAGGGATAGACAAGCCTCCATTGACAGCTCCCTTTAGGGCCTCAAAAACTTTATTCCTGGTAGTAGTTCTGGCAAGTCCTGCATCTAGGTAACAAGTGAAGGCACCAGGTTGACCATCAATGCTTTCCACATTGTATTTATCTCCAGTCACCTTGACTTGGCCTTCATAAATTTTGTCCATACCAAACCTATTAAGAAGCCTGCGGGCCAGCAGCAGGCTAGTACAATATGCTGCAGCATGATTTGTCAGGCCAAACTTCACACCATGTTTTGGGAGTTCATGAGCGTAAGCTGCACAAACTATCCTATCTCCTTCTATGCAGGCATAAGAAATCTGACAAATAATATCTCTGTTTGTTACATGAACGATCATTCTGTATTTAGGTGTGTTGTACTTATTTTTATCTTGGATTACCAGTCGTTTCCGAGCATAGTAGTCAGTTTTGCCCTCTTGCTGTCTTCTGAATTTCACTTTGTATCCCTTGAAGTAGGCCTTGTTTTGGACAACTTTAACAATCCCCATCCTGCAGAACAGAACCCTGACTCCGCAGCTTGCTGCAGAGCTGCAGGACCAGCACAGTTTCGGGGGCGGAAACACCCCACTCCAATATTCTTGCCTAGGAAATCCCATGGGCAGAAGAGCCTGGCAGGCTACAGTCTGTGGGATCACAAAGAGTCAGACACGACTTAGCGACTAAACAATAACAATTCCTTTGTATCACTCAGTACCCTGCACAGTGCTGGGCATGGATGGTACAAATGTTCCAACTTCCCAAGCATGAACTGCAAACAGGATTACCAAAATCATGGCAACAGCAGTATAAATTTGGTGTGCTAGACCTTTTCTAAAAAAAAGAGCATAACATAAGAGGTATCAAGTGGTTTTTTCATGGTTTGTGTACCCACTAAACTCTTGGTGCCTCCCGAGTTGTTTCTTTCTTTGGGGATTTTTTCACCTGAACTTTGGTCTCAGTTCACTTCCTCTTGCCTTTGAGTGTGTGTGTGTGCTAAGTCGCTTCTGCCTTTAAGAGACAGCTCAATCTTCACGTCTTCTGTGGAGAGAACACTCCCTGACTCCTTGAGGTAGAAGGGACTGCTTTCTCCTTTGGATTCTCCTACTCCTAGTATCACACTTCATAGCACACGTGCTACAGAAGGTAACAGTGATGTGTTTGTGCGGGGGTGGGGGTGAGGTGGTGCATTTACAGGGAAGCCTGGGAGAAGTTCATTGCTATCTGGTGGGGAGATAAATCTCTAACACAATATTCATCTCACATCATGGCGGTGTAAACTTACATGACATGGTCAGATATACAAGTAGGTAGACAGGTAGGTAGATAGATAGAAGGAAGAAGTTTTCCTTGACCTTCATAGGATTCCTGGCTAGGTCTAAAAAATGAAACTGACAAAGACAGATGAGCAAGAGAAAAGCACACAAATTTATTTAATGTAAGTTTTACATGACATAGAGGTCTTCAAAAGGAAATGAAGACTCATGGGAATTCCCTGGCCATTCTGTAGTTAGGAGTCTATACTTCCACTGCAGGGGACACAAGTTCCATCCCCAGTCCGGGAACTACGATTCTGCATGCCGTGTGGCATGGCCAATATGAAATGAAGACCCACAGAAATAGTTAGACCTGAGTATTTTTATGCTAGGTTTGATGAAGAGAGGATAGTCAAGGAAGAGTATAATAGGTTAGAGGATATGAGGTAATCAAAGTAAACTGGGGAAAACATAGCAAAGCCGATTTGTTAGGATTCTTCTCCGGGTGCATTTGTCTTTGGAGAAAGAATGCTCATTTCCTACAGGTATAGAGACAGCACCTCTTACAGGAGGTTCTTTGAAAGGTAGTAGTGGGGAGAAGGTCAGAGTAACTGTCTTAGAGCTTCTATTGTTTTCTCAAACTCCTTCCACTTAAAATAGTCAATATCCAAGGTGCCATATTTTGAGGAATCAAGTCCTGGACCCCATCATTAGTAAAGCATAGTTCAAACTGCCCCACTAGAAACTTTTCAAGATTTAAATAGCTGTTTCTTGAAAAATAAAAAAGAATTTAAAGGTCAAGTTAGTTTGATAAATTCAAGATTCAAGTTAAATTTTTAAATGTATGCTTTAATTTTTCTCTGCAATATTTTTCAAAACTCTTAATGTGCGGATGTGCATTGTGAACTCCCAAGTGTGAATCCAGTGTGCAGCATTTCCTAATCATACGTGCCCATAGAATTCCTTCTTTTTTCATGCCCCGTAGAACACAACGTAGAGTTTGATTTCATGGTTGAGAACAGAGAAAGATATTAATGTCATCACAGATTCATTGCCTACATTTGGATCAGCATATTAAGTTTCCTCATCTGCAAAATGGGGATAATACTTATTTCATATTGCTGTTGGCAAATCAGAAAAGGTTTATAAAATGCTTAGGTGTTTTCAGTAGATCTTCGTAATTATGACTATTAACAATAATATATTTGGGATCTGACTATTTATCTTCAGAACCTCAGTGCTTTGCAGAGTCCTGAATCTGAAGCTGAGTTGAGTTCAGACTGTTACCCATGGCTCAGCATCAGTGTGTGGGTGGCCCAATGGCTTCCCTCCTATCTGTATCCTTTGTCCTTTAACAATATTGGAGTCAATCTTAGATGAGTCCCATTGTGGTCATGGTCCTGTTGCTTAGTATCTTCTTATAAAAAAAAAAAAAGATAGAAGAAGAAATGAGGTTTGAACTGAATAATTTCTAGAGTTCATGTTCTCTAAAATTTTAAGGGATGGAATTTTCCTGGTGGTTCATGGGTTAGGTCTCGGTGCTTTCACTGCTGTGGTCCCATGTTCAATTCCTGGTCAGGGAACTAATATCCTATAAGCTTCACGGTGCAGCCAAAAATAAAATAAAAAAATAAAATTCTAAGGGAGACCAGAAGTAATTCTCAAGCTGTATCAGGTAGCGTTTTGTTGCTCTTTTGACTGGGTTGATGAGTACAAGTGTCTGCACACCACTTTATTTTTTTCAGTTAGGAAGTCCAATGTAAACTAGATTGCCATCAATATTCTTGATATAAAGGAATTGATTTTGGTTAATCTTTTATCAGATTATATGTCAGTTTTACATATGACTATATACAGCACTATTAACTAGAATTTCTATCTGGAAGTCATTTTCATGCATCTGCTCCCTGACCTATTTACAGTAAGTGCAGCTGTGGGGTGGTTCTCTACGCAGGATTCAGAAACACTGCCGTTTTTTAAATAAACCAGATGTTTTCCATTTCAAAGAAAAAGATCACACCTAGTGAAGTATTTGTTTACAAGCTTCACAATAATACCAAAGATTATAAGAAAAGTTTCAAGGGACATGGATCACAGAAATCAGTTGAACACCACACTTTTCCAATTTCCTGCGAAGTTACAAAAGAAATACACAAAAGTAGACCTTGTGCTGGCTGTGAGGATTTGTAGATTAAGGTTATAGTGACCAACAGATTACAGTGAGAGTTAAGTCTGAAGAGAGACTGCCACTTGGCTTTATTTGGTTTCTGTCCATTTTCCCAAAAACACGTCCCTGTGATACACATCCGAAGGAGTGGTTTTTAAAACAAGTCCTAAAACGAGTGTTTTTGGAGACTTCAGGAATACTTTGGGAGTAGATTTCCTCCAAACAAAAACGAAATCAACACATTTAAAAAATCGAAAGTGAAAATAGGTATAACTTGCTGGTGAATAATCACTGGAGAACCGGGTTTGCTATTCTACCAGTGACTAGACTGAAAGAAAATCATCATTTGGTAGCTTTCTTCTTCTTTTATTTTGTCTTTTTTTTTTTTTTTTTAAAGGAAGCAAACTGTTCTATTTTCTTGAAGGAAGCAAATGGGCGAGCCATTTGGAAAAGGCTGAAGGCGCTTCCGGACAAGGGAGCCCCAGCCAGGCCCCGAGGGTTCCAGCGACTACCCGCGCCGCCGGCGAGGTTTCCGGGAACCTGGGCGCGGCGCTCGGCAGGGCGAGGCGGGTGAGTGGGCGACCCCTTCCCTCGCTGCCATTCCCGCTTCTCGTTGGGCCCGGGCTGGAGAGGCCGTGGTGGCGACAAGACGGGCTCCGCGGGGCCGGGGCCCTCCGGGGCGGGGGTTGAGGGTTGGTGGGAACGCCTGGCGGAGAGTGGGGGGCCGTTGGCTCCGCGCCCGCATCCCCTGCGCCGCCCTCCTGCGCTGCCCGCTGCGGAGGTCGTGGGGACCACCTAGCCGCCGAGGGGGCGCGCCTGCCCGCGTCCCGCGGGGCCTTCTGCCTGCAGTCCAGGCCTCTGACCCCGTCTCCTTTGCTTTGCTTCGTTTAGGAAACTGAAACTTAAAATGGTTTGTGTTTCCCCACTGTTCCTGTAGTCTCTCTGGAGGAAGTTCTTAGAAAAACATTCCTTAAGGAGATTTAGTCTCTTGGCAGGTGCAGGGTTTGGCAGTCCTGCCTGATTTTTCAGAACATACAGGGATTTTATTTAAAGAGACGTCCAAAAACAGAATGTGATGTTTCCCTATCTATGCGACACGCGTAAGTTAAAAAACAACAAGAAGCAATCGTGTCTGTGCGTCTCCACCTCCTTTTTTCCTTTCTTTGCCTCATTTCCTTTGTTTTTGCTGCCAGGCATGCCTATGGGAAGATTTGTCTCTATCAGTCCTGGCACCACAGTGAATATGTTAGGGAAATAGGTGGTGAACAGGTGGAGGTGATTTGTACTGTTTTTTTCATTTGCTGCCATAATAAATTACCATGGACTCAGTAAAACCTTAAAAGCTACAAAATATCTTAAAATTATGTACGGGGATTTCCCTGGCCGTCCAGTGGTTAGACTTTGTGTTTCCATTGCAGAGGCCGTGGGTTTGATCCCTGGTGAAGAGACTAAGGTCCTACATGCCCTGCAACCTGGCCAAATTACAAAAAAAAAAAAAAAAAAAAAAAAATTCAGTATAAGTCTGGGTGGGCGTTACTAGGTTAAAATCAAGATGTCAGCTGCTCTGCCTGCCTTTCTGGAGGCTAATGGTGTGAACCTGTTTTCTCATTTTTTCTGCTTCTGTAGATTGCTCATCTCCTTTGGCTCAGTGGTGTCCTTTCTCCATCCTCAAAACCAGCAGCATTGCATCTCTCTGACTGTTCTTCCCTTGTCACGTCTCACTCTGATTCTGCTCTTCTGCCTTCCTCTTTCACTTTGAAGAAGGACCCTGATGATTACATTGTTCCCCACCAATAATCCAGGAAGAGCTTTATATTTTAAAGTCAGCTCTAAATTAGCATCCTTAATTCAGTTCATAACCTTAGTTCTCCTTTGCAGCATTATCTAACATTTTCACAGATTATGGGGGTTAGGATGTGGACCTCTTGAAAAAGGCCATTATTCTTCCTACCTTTTGAGTGCATAAAAGGAAAGCTATTACTCTACATCCCATTCCTCAAGGAAGGAAAGTATCTAGATACTAGATATGCTGTAACAAGTTCTTATGGAATATTATGTAGTAGACCATTTATATGGGTTAAATGTATTATTGAGAGCTTTTATTACAAGCATTTAAGAGTAAACTTTAAAAAGCAGTTAAAGAATGTTGCAGTTTCTGCTTTCTGGAAATGTAATGAGAACATTGCATAGAACATCGCATGCCCGAGGTGTCCAGAGCTGAACAAATACCTGAGTCAAGTTACCAGGCAGTCCTATAAACATTAAGTGTTTTCCATTTGTGAACTGGTGCTCTGAATGGGTACAAGGAAGAGGGAATGTAGTCCTTGGCCTCAAGGTCATGACCATCTTGTCATGGAAAATGACACAAGTAACCAAGTAAAGCTCCCCAAAGAGGTACTGGGGAAGAAGCAACATCATTTGGGGGAATCAGAAAGACTTCAGGAACTTGGGGGGGAATTTGGGATGGACACTGAAGAACAGTAGGATTTCATTAAGTGGAAATTAAGGTTGGTAGGGGAGGGAGGTTGTGACATTGAGGGACAGGAGGGAGAAGAGAAACCCTTAGAGTGTTCAGTATGGTTAAGGAACTTGGTCCAGGAGATCTAGTCTAAATAAGACTAGTTGGGGTTAAATTGTGTAAGATCTGGGATGAATACCCTTGTAAAGTCTCTGCAGTTGTTGATGCAATAAGAACTACTAATATGTATCTTAAAAAAATTTTTTAAGCCCTTTCAAACTTATAGAAAAGTTACAAGTAACAACTTTTCTTTTTCCTGAGTTATTTGAATGTAGCTATCATGACCCATTAATCTGGAAGTCTTGAGTATTTATTTCCTGTAAAAAAAAAGGTGTTCTTTACATAACTACAATACAGCGATCAAGATCAGAAAATTAATATTGGTACATTAATGCCATCTAATCCTTCGATCTAATTTGAATTTTGCCCATTGTCCCTATTATATAGTGTATAACACAAAGATCGTGTATAACAAACAGAGTTAAGAATTATGCATGGTGTTTAGTTAACAATGTATCTTTAGCCTCCTGTCTGGGACAGTTTCTCTGTCTTTCCTTGGCTTTCATGTGCTTACCACTTTTGAAGAGAACAGGCCAGTGTGTCTCCTGTTTCCTCATTCTTAGATTCAGTTTATGCATCTTTGGCAGGAATATCACAGAAGTCTTGCTGTGTTCTTGGTGGGCCTATCATATGTCAGATAATTTTGATGTATCTCATTATTTACTTTGACTATTTCATTATGGTGGCGTCTGCCTGGCTTCTTCACTAAAATTTGCTCTTTTCCCCTTTGAAATTAATGTGTTTTTTGGGGAGGTGTTTCTTTTGTTTGTTTTTGTTTTTCTTCATAGTGACCCCAAACTGGAAACAACCAAATACCCACCAACAGGAGGATGGATGAACCAAGTGTGAACTATCCATGTAGGGAATACTACACAGCAGTAAAAAGGAATAAGCTACTAATACATGCAATAACATGAACAAATCTCCAAAACTCTAGTACATATAAAAGGATACATGCTAAATTATTCTACTTATGTGAAGTTCAAGAACAGGTTGCTCAGTGTAAGGAAACTTTAACACAATTTAAAAATATCATTTCTTGAATACAAACTATGTCCCTAGCATTCTTTTGGTATTGTTCCAGTATAGTTCTGGATGAAGTAGGACATACTTTCAAGAACAAAACAAAAATCACTGCCCTTGTGGTGCTTATATTCTTGAAGATCAGCTTGACATGTTCAATGCAAAAGGGCAAGCTGATAGTTATGCCTACTGAAGTTGTTGATCTCCCTCAGGGGTGGTCAATGCCAGGACTGGTAAGTACTCAAAACAACTAAGTGATTGAGATTGCCCTGGAATTTGGTTAGCAGTATTTATGGGTAAGTATTTTAAGCTACTTAAATGGTCCTTTTGTCATGAAAATATCAATTTATCTATCTGCTTTAGTACTAAATGGATTTAATTATTACTGTCATTATTTATTTCTCTGCTTAATCGATTCCCAAATTTTTCCAGTAAGAACCCCCTCAAGCTGGACTCTGTTCTTGTGACATATTTCTCATCATTCTTTGAGCACTTCTTGCTTTCTGGCATCATAAGACGCTTGTCTTATACTTTTCCTGTTCCAGTTCTAGAAGTGGCCATTTCTCTGAATAGCCTTGGTTCCTGGTAGCTGAGAATGGTATTAGAAACCAAATTCTGGATGCTAAATGTGTTCATTGCTATTGTCTTTGTTTCCCGGTCCTTTTAGCAGACAGAACTGGGAAATATCACACATATGCACACTTATACCTATATTTAAATTTCGGTACTTTCCTATCAATCCATCAGAAATCATGAGATTATACTGATATCTCCAGTTCCATTTCATAGCATTAATTCTATTTTTTCCCCTTTCCATATTTACAGTCACCTTCTCTGACAATGAAGAACCTGGCTCCTGTTGTCCTCCACCTATTTACTTATTTGATAAATCGTGTTTATGTACTTTTGGCCACTGGGAGCTCTGTGCTCATCTTGTGTATTCCTGCCCTTTTGAGGGCTCCTTTTTGCTCAAAGGAGATCCTTTCATTGGAAAATAGATTAGAAGTCAAGATCTAGGTGCTTCATGACCGCTGCTCCTTCTTTTTTTCTGATGTTAGTGAAAAATAATTGACATACACCACTGTATAAGTTTATATCATGATGGCTTGACTTGCACATATTATGAAATGATTACCATATTAGGTTCAGCTAACATCCGTCTTGTAATATAGATACAATAAGAAGAAAAGACAGAAAAAAATTTCTCCTTGTGATAAGAACTCAGGATTTACTCTCTTAACAACTTCCTTTTGTATCACAGCAGTGTTAGCTACAGTCATCGTGATGTATATTATACACCTATTACTTGTTTATCTTATAACTGGAAGTTTGTAGTTTTTGACCACTTTCCTCCAAATCACCCTCCATACCACCCTCTACCTCTGGTAAGCACAAATCTGATCTTCTTCTTCTAAGAGTTTTATTTGGTTTCTTTTTTTTTTTTAAACTATATGTGAGATCATAGAATATTTGTCTTTTTCTGTCTGACTTAACATCATGCCTTCAAGGTCCATCAATGTTGTTGCAAATGGTAGAATTTCCTCATTTTTTTATGGCTGAATAATATCACAATGTATATAATTACTACACACACACACACACACACCACAATTTGTTTATCTATTCATTCATCCACTGATGGACACGTAGGTTATTTCCATGTCTTGGCTATTGTAAATAATGCTGCAATGAACACGGGATATAGAAATCTTTTCAAGTTAGAATTTTCTTTTCCTTTAGATATATTTCCAGAAGTGAAGCTGTGAAGTTACAGGACCATATTAAACTAAACAGTTTCTGTGCAACAAAAGAAACCATAAACAAAGTAAAAAGACAGCCTATGGAATGGAAAAAAAATATTTCCAAACCATATATCTGATGTATGTGAATGTACAGTGCTTAGTCATGTCAGACTGTTTGCCACCCTTTGGACTGTAGCCCGCCAGGCTCCTCGGTGCATGGGATTTTTCAGACAGGAAAACCCAGTCCATTGGAGTGGGCTGCCATTTCCTTCTCTAAGAGATCTTCTCGATCAGGGATCAAAACCGTGTCTCCTGTGTCTCCGCATTGCAGGTAGATTCTTTACCCGCTGAGCCACAGGGGAAGCCTCAGTATATCTGATAAGGAGTTAATATCCAAAATATATAAAGAACTCATGAAACTCAATACCAAAATATAAAATAACTAAAAACTGGGCAAAAGGACTTAAAAAAACATTTCTCCAAAGAAGATATATGAAAGATCGATAGGAACATGAAAAGATGCTCAACATCACTAATCCCTAGTAAAATGTAAATTGAAATTCCAGTGAGATAACACCTTACATCTATTGAAATGGCCATCATAAAAAAGACAAAAGTTGACAAATGCTGTGAGGATGTGGAGAAAAGGGAACCCTTGTGCACTCTTGGTGTGAATGTAAATTGGTGCATTCACTATGGAAAACAGTTATGGAGAATCCTCAAAATACTGAAAGTAGAATTACCATATGACCCATTTTTTGGACACTGCTTGGGTTCACACTGAGTAAACTAAGCCATAATTAATTTTTTGCTAATCTTCTATTGTATTTTTAAAGAGCAATACCTTTCTTTTCTGTTTGTTCTATAGGGATAGTGAGAATTTAATCAGTTAAAATCTTGGAAGACTGTGTTAATAGACACACTATTAATATGCTTCTAAAACAGTAAAAATAGTTCTGATATTCCTTGTGTCATATTTGACCTAGGACTTCTTCATTTCGGTAAATTCATATGCAGGCAAGAGTTCTTACTCTTTTGATGCCAGTTTGATAAAGTCTATGAGCTTTTCTGAAAAAATTTTTGAAGTCGTTTAAAATAAAATATAGAGAATTATAAAGGAAACCAGTTATATTGAAATATGATTACCAGTGTTATTTAAAAGCAAATTTTTAATTTAGTGATGTATACCAGTATACTGATACCTTCCCAGGTGGCGCTAGTGGTAAAGAACCCGCCTGCCAATGCAGGAGACCCAGTAGGCTGGGGTTTGATCCCTAGGTCAGGAAGATCTCCTGGAGAAGGGCATGGCAACCCTCTCTAGTATTCTTGCCTGGAGAACCCCATGGACAGAGGAGCCTGTTGGGCTACAATCCATGGGGTCGCAGAGTCTGCCACGACTGAGCGACTAACACTGTACTTCACTTTCCACTTTACCAGTATACTACAGTTTATTATAAGACTGTATTATTATGGTCATGAGTTTAATAGCTGTCATAATTTTGAAGCAGAGTTAAGCACAAGCAATGTTTCAGGCTATCTGGGAGAGTTAAACTATTTTATGAAACTATCTGCCATCCTGGTGATGTTTTAAAAAATAATTAATTACTTAATTTCTGGCTGCGCTGGGTCTTCGTTGCTGAGGGCTTTGCTCTAGGTGTGGTGAGGGAGGGCTACTGCCTAGTTGCAGTGCTTGGGCTTCTCACTGTGCTGGGTTCTCTTGTTGCAGAGCATGGACTCTAGGGCACAAGGGCTTCAGTCCTTGAGGCATATATGCCCTGGTGACTTTTGTCACAGGTGCTACAAATACCACGTGACTTCTTGCCTATATTCATATTTGAAGAGAATGCCATTTCCATCAGAGATTGTTAGAAATAAATATGAATTTTTTTCTTCATGTTCAAGTGCATGAACTCAGGGGAAGTTTTGTGAAAACCTCTGTTATCATAGAGGAAAGGTGTTTGGAGATATTTTCACTCCATTACATTCTTGGAGTATAATAAGGAGAATTAAATATTTAAATTAAAGCCTTTGGAAAAAGTCTAGAGGACTAAAATAATATCCTTTTAAAATGGAGCGTCATATCATGATTGAGATGAGAACTACAAAGGAATGTTAATACCTATTATGTTCTATTATGGTATTAAAATGCAAGGGATTTTTAGAATCTTTTAAATATTTATAGATGTGAAAGTTATTTGAAATACAGAATTTGTTTGAATATAATTCACATGATAATAAAGACTTTGGTGGTAGGGGAAAAGATATAGCAAAGAAGAGATGTTTTATCCATAAAAGGGTAAAAGATATTTTTTCCTCTTGACTTTGTGTGTATGTACCATTTTTGAAGTATTTATTTATTTATTTTAATTTATTTATTTTAATTGGAGGCTCATTACTTTACAGTATTGTGGTGGTTTTTGCCATACATTGACATGAATCAGCCATGGGTGTACATGTGTTCCCCATCCTGAACCCCCCTCCCACCTCCCTCCCCATCCCACCCTCAGCGTTGCCCCAGTGCACCAGCCCTGAGCGCCCTGTCTCATGCATCCGACCTGGACTGGCGATCTGTTTCACATATGATAATATACATGTTTCAATGCTATTCTCTCAAATCATCCCACCCTCGCCTTCTCCCACAGAGTGCAAAAGTCTGTTCTTTACATCTGTGTCTCTTTTGCCGTCTCACTTATAGGGTCATTGTTACCATCTTTCTAAATTCCACATATATGCATTAATGTACTGTATTGATGTTTTTCTTTCTGACTTACTTCACTCTGTATAATAGGCTCCAGTTTCATCCACTTCATTAGAACTGATTAAAATGCATTCTTTTCAATAGCTGAGTAATATTCCATTGTGTATATGTACCACAGCTTTCTTATCCATTCATCTGCTAAGGGACATCTAGGTTGCTTCTAGGTCCTGGCTATTGTAAACAGTGCTGCGATGAACATTGGGGTACACGTGTCTCTTTCAATTCTGGTTTCCTCAGTGTGTATGCCCAGCAGTGGGATTGCTGGGTCATATGGCAGTTCTATTTCCAGTTCTTTAAGGAATCTCCACACTGTTCTCCATAGTGGCTGTACTAGTTTGTGAATTATTTATTTTTTATAATAATTAGGGAGTCATGGCAGCTGATGAAGATAACAAAGAACAAGTTCTTAAGGAATGTGAGCAAACTGAAGAAGTTATGAAAGATAAACAAAACCAGGTAAAAAGGAAAAATTACTGAGTACTATTAAAAATTGACTTACATCTATTGGTTTTGCAGTGAGGCATGTTTCATATGTCTTTGTCCAACATTAACTTGCATTTGGGAGAATATTAGGGTTTTCAGTTTTTTTTTTTTTTACTTCTAGTATTCAAGACTGACAAGAAGAATCACATTTCTATTCTTTCTCTTACATAACGCACATTAACTGCTTTTTCACTTCCTCTCATTTCTTTGACCTGCACCTAGAAGTTAAGAGTTTTGTTAACAATTATATGATCAGACCCAAGATGGAATGGAGGCTATGCTGTAAACTACCTGAGCTATACTGTGGGAAAAAAAAAATCTTTAATTGCCCCAGATTAACATATGTCCACAATTATGGTGCAATTTAAAATTCATATTGGAGTCACAAATAGCTAGGAAAGAGTTGGTAGAGCACTGAGCTAGGATTCAGAAGACATGGGTCTCAATCCTTGCTCTACTATAAACATTTCTGTGACTTTGGTCCTGCATGCAAAGTGGTTTCCTTGTTTGTATGATAGAGATAATAATCCTTGGCAGTGGTAGGAAAATCAACAGATAATGATGTATAACATTGTACAAATGTTTATTCATGTGATCATATTTATTCTGAGACTATCTAATGTCTTTCTTTGCCTTGCTCAGAGAGAGAAATTTTGCTTCTTTAACTCATTTGGAAAAATGAGGTTGGGGCTCTTTAAATTTGGACTGTTATTTTATTTTTTAGAAATTAATTAGTGAGATTACAAAGGAAAATATTCAGTTAAAGGAGGAGATCCAAAAACTTGAAGCTGAGTTACAGGAGACTGCCAGGACCTCCCAGGTACCCCTTTAATTATTTTTGTATCTCATTTTTAACAGATGCTATTTTTTTTTTCAGAAAAAGAAATTTAATGATACAGAAGTCATTTCTAAGACACTATGATCATTCATGTCACCACTGTTTGCAATAGTTACAAACTGAAAACAACTCAACTCTCCCTCTATAGTAGAATGAATTTATAAATTGGGGTGTATTCACATAATGGAATACTACACAGCAATGAAAATGAGCAGGCAATAACTATATGCAATAATATGGATGAATTTCATAGACAGTGTTGAACTGAAAAAGGAAAAAGAGGGCATACCATATGCTTTGACTTAAGTAGAGCACAGAATCACAGTGTTAGAAGTTAGTATGGTGCTTACTGTTAGAGGCAGGTAAAAACTGGAAGGGAACCCCAGAGGGCTTCTGAGTTGTTGGTCTTGTTCTGATGATTGATCTGGGTGCTGGTCACAGGTGCATGATCCCTCCATAAAATTTCATCTTGCTATATATTTATGCTGGGATTCCCTGGTGGCTCAGATGGTAAAGAGTCTGCCCGCAATGCTGGAGAGCTGAGTTCAATCCCTGGGTCCACAAGATCCTCTGGAGAAGGACATGGTAACCTATTCCAGTATTCTTGCCTGGAGAATCCCATGGACAGAGGAGCCTGGCAGGCTACAGCCCATAGGGTCGCAAAGAGTTGGACACGACGGAGTGACTTCACACACTCACTCACTCACACGTTTATGCTAATGCATGTTTTAATATTCATGTACACATTAATGCACCACACACAGCCTCCAGTGATGGTCATTATCAGTCACATTTTGATCAAATTCTTGGTCTTTTCGCTGAGTTCTTTCATTGCTCTCCTCATCCAAGTAATAATTTAAGTGAGTTTCATGGTTAAAAAAAAAAAATTGGAAGAGTATCTTTACCATTTAAATTCTTTCTTAATTTTTCCTTTGTTTGAATTAGACAGCTCTCACTCCTTTTTTCTTCATCAAAACCCAGATTGTTAAAATACTCACTTTAAAGCATTATCACTTTTTATTTCTGAAGTTGGGGGTAGAATGTTAAATATCCAAAGTGAGGTTTCTTGTGTTTGTGAGGTTTAGAGAAGTCTCTGTTAAGATCCTGCATAATTTTTATGGAGCTAGAATCACTTACTCCTACAACCCAAAGGGCCTTGGGAACCCAGCCAGCTCAGTTGATCCACTTCACAGAGGACTGAAAACTGGGGTCTAGGGACCATGAGTGCATTGCTCCCTGCCATGGTGCACTCAGGACTAGAAGCAGGCAGTTTCACTCTCACTGGGGAAAGCTCTTGACACTTCTGGATATACTGGATGTTTCTCTGTTACTGGGAAACACTGCCTTTTCATACTGCAGATTGTTTTGAAATCAGACTTATCATAGTCAGAAATTCTACCGAAGTGACATGTCAGATTATAGAAAAAATGTCAGATTAGACCAAATGACTCATTGGCTGTTTCTAATCTCTTCATGATAACACTTCTTCTTGCAACATGTAAAATAACCATGAGAAATAGAAATGAAAACACCTGACTCATTTGTGCATTTATGTGTGATCGTACTGTCTGTTCAGGGCTTCCCTGGCAGCTCAGTAGTAAAGAGTCTGCCTACCAGTGCAGGAAACATGGATTTGGTCCCTGGATCAGGAAGATCCCCTGGAGAAGGAAATGGCAACCTACTCCAGTATTTCCCAAGCTTGCTTGGGAAATCCCATGGACTGAGGAGTCTGGTGGGCTGTAGTCCAAGGGGTTGCAAAAAAAGTCAGACATGACTTAGAGACTAAACAACAAAAACCTGTTCATCCTAGTGATTTTCAGCACCTAAGTATAACCACTTAACTTTATCCTCCAGACTTCTTCTTCTTTTTTTTTTTTTTTACAAATCTTGCTAGTGGTATCCCTTCACATTTTTATAAACCTAAGTTGTGGGAATGGTTAAAAAGTTGATGGACAGGTGTTGAGGAAGGGGGAATTGAAATTTGATAAATTTTAAGTCACTGAACTGAATTTAGGAGTTTCTCTTTGGATGACATTACCTGAGTTTGCTGTCAAAATAACTGCAGTATGCACCACGTCTATTTCATACCTCTTTGCAATGAGACCAAAGATACTGTGCAATGATTCCTTTGTGAAACAACCTATTATTGGCATAGTTGTTTAGAAGATACTTTTCTGCAGAAATGATGTAGGCTTAAGAACCAAATAACACACAATATTGACCAATTTAAACATTGATTAGAAAAAGTGAGAGACTGTATACTTAAAATTTCATCTGTGAAATAATATTAAAGGATCAGCATTTGACTAGATTACTGAGTACTGTTCTGGGAAGAAGCAATTACTAGTGATATTAAATAAGACCACACCCAGTATTCTATGGGGTTCTCAAGTCAGTAGAGAATGAATTACTGGATGATCAGATCACATTATCATTGGAATGACTTAAGTTACTTCTTGTGTTGATTTTAATCAAACCTTTCTGTTTGAATTAGATTAATGAGGATATTCCTGAATCAAAGATAAAGTTCACATCCATGGAGAATCCTGAGAGTGACAGCGAGTTTTCAAATATCTCCTATTCATGCCAAGTGAGCTCAAAAGTCCCTTATGAGCTGCAAAAAGGACAAGCACTTATTACCTTTGAAAAAGAAGAAGGTATGACTAATGTTGAAAAGCTTGACCATGCTACCTTTAGAAAGCACTGGGACTTCCAAAGAGTTTTTGTAGATATTTGGCCATTGCTTTACAATTTATATATATATCATTTCGTCTCATCCTCATAGGGGTGCCCCAAGGTAGATATGATTATCCCTGATTTACAGACCAGAAAACAAGATTCTGAAATGTTGAGTGGTTTGAACATGATCACTAGCATAGAAAGTGAGTGCTCTAGAAATCAAACCCGTGTTGTGATGTCCAATACCAGCGTTTTTATACTACTCCTGATACCTGCAAATGATAATACTAGTAATAATGTTTCAAGGTAGCGAAGCAGAGAGTTCTGACAGACATGATCTCATTTTATACTCACATGACTCTATAAAAGTATTAAGATAGAGATACTATTTACATCATTAAGAAACCAGATTCTCAGATGTTTAAGTGATTTACCTAAGTGCACAAGGCATGAGAATGAAAAGTGTTCTGGAGTCAAAGATTTGGAGTGGGACCTGATGTTTGCCATGGTGTGGAACCCTCTTGAGAGCTGGGGACACCTTAATGAGGAGAATCTGGCTTTGAATGCCAGCTTTGCCTCTTTTTTTTTTTTAATCAAACCAAAACAGCACTTTATTTATTTATTGACCGTGTCGGGTCTTAGTTGCATCACTCGGGATCTTTGTTGTGGTATGTAGGCTTAGTTGCCCCGCGGCATGTGGGATCTTAGTTCCCCAACAGGGAGTCCAATGCATGTCCCCTGCATTGGAAGGCAGATTCTTAACCACTGGACCACCAGAGAAGTCCCAATATTTTTATTTATTTGTTTGACTGCACCAGGTCTTAGTTGTGGCTTGTGGGATCTAGTTTCCTGACCAGAACCGATGACCCTGGGCTCCCTGCATTGGGAACAAAGAGGTGCAGCCACTGGCCCGCCAGGGAAGTCCCCAGCTTTGCCTCTTTACAGAAGTGTAGTTTGGGTTGGGTTCTTTATAAATCTCAAGTTTTTATGGCAGGCTTTGTGACAGTGCCTACCTCATGGGGTTGCTTTGAATATCAAATGGGAAGTGTTGAAAAAATATTCAGCACAGTATCTGATACATAATAAACACTTAATAAATGTTAGTTGTCATTATTGCTCCATGTTAAGAAATTTTTCAGCTAAGGAAACAAAAGCTTACTTGCACAAGGTCCATACAGGTGATAAACTGCTGAGCTGAGAACCAAACCCCGAGTACCCTTGTACTTTCTCCTGGACCATTATTCCTCTGAGCAGGCCACCATCTGGGCCTCTGTTCTCATGTTTGTCAAGTGATGAGTGGGATCAGATAGTCTTCACAAACCCTTCCAGTGCTCAGGTACTGGGAGTCCAGGATTATAACTCATGTCTCCTGATGCCTGGTTAGTTACTGTAGCCTGAAAATAAATAGAAAGGCATTCTGGCAGGTCACTATATGCACACACTTTGTCCGCCCTGGCTCCACCCCCGTAGCTGTGGATGGAGGGTGAGGTCAAGAGCCCTGTTGGCCGTTGGCAGTGGTCACTGGGATATAACTGAGAGATGGAAGTGAGGATTTGGGAAGTTGGGATCCCACATAGAGATTACCTGGGGATGCTGAGAATAAGATTCTCTTCAGAGATAGCTGTGTCAGTGCTCCCACCCTTGGCATGACTCTGATGTCCTGCTCCTCTGGGACAACTTTGGGTTCCGACACAAATCAGTGGGAGTTGGCTTTTGACAGTCAGAGTCACAAGGGTTGAAACACAGTAGTGCCTCTCACTGCGTCAGATCACCAGATGTTGGAGGTTTGGGGGGCGAGGGAGAGGGGGGATTGGGAGGGAAAGGTCATCATCTAAGTATTACTTACAGTTGGCATCCTCTGTTATTGTTGCCGGTTGTCATTAACAACAACAAAAACGCTATAATTCAAGTTATAGAGTCATATCATGATACAAGGCATCTGAATTCCCACATGACAACGCCCTGTTTTCCAGCCCTGTTTCTCTCTTTCTCTGGCTGTGGTGTGCTGTCTGGTTGTCATAAACACATGTGAAGTTTATAAGCCCAGGATTGGGCATCTTTTGTCTTCATGACATATTAGAATAAATAGCTCCAATATCAATGAGTAAAATATTTTAAACTCATGTCACACAGTTATAAAAAACACATACCCACATGCATTTTTAAACTGACATATAGTTGCTGTTGGATTTCTAATGATTTTTGGAAAAATTATATTACTGAGCCTCTCCTATTTGCATGAATAAATTAGATTTGATAGTTTTGTGGTCAGTTTTATCAAGGCTGTTGACTTTTTAATGAATGATCTCAAGAGTGTTTTAGTGAAAGTAGAATTCTTTGTTAAACATGACCTGCCTTCCAAAAAAAAATGAAGACTCACTGGTAGCTAAGTCTATGTGGTCTTTAATATGTATTCTTTGGGAAAGACAGAGATAAGAACAAATATTTGTTTTTATAGTGCTTGTAACATATTAAGAAGAAGTGAGAAATGATAAATAAGATTAATTGTCAGAATGACACCGAGTTACAAAAGTTTTCCCAGCTTACTCAACCTGGAAGAAATTTCTGGCTGTGCTTTAATGTACTGAGGGAATTCTCTGATGAGTCTGTCAACAGTGGAAAGGAAGGGTGTTGACTGTACTTAATTTCTAAAGAATCATCAAGCTATCTCTTAAGAGTTGAATCTAGAACTCAGTTTCTCCACTGTAATTTTTTGCAGATGTATTTTGACATTAATATATCCTAGTATGGTGGTAACACTGTTATCATGTAGAAATCCTAAGAAAAATGTAAAAATAAGATCCCTGAAAATTGAAGAAAATTTGGGGACTTCCCTGGTGGTCCTGTGGTTGAGAACCTGCCTGCCAATGCAGGGGATGCAGCTTTGGTCCCTAGTTTGGAAACTAAGATCCCCACTTGCCATGGGGCAACTAAGTCGGTAGCACCACAGCTACCGAGCCCACACTCTAGAGCCAATGTACCATGACTAGACAGTAAGCCCCACTCGCCGCAACTCAGCATCGCCAAAAATAAATAAACACCAAAATTTTTTTTTTAAATAAAAAAAATTAAAGAAAAGTTAAACTATCCAGGATTATTTTTTTGTTAAGCCAGATGTGTAAAAATGTATTGAAATATTGGAGATTAATACTTACCAAATTATTTTTCAGTTGCCCAAAATGTGATCGGAATGGAACGCCATCATGTGCAGGTACAGAATGAAAATGTGATGCTGATGGCCAACCCAGTTCCGTTAAATTCAGGAGTCAAATTCCAGGTAACACGGTGATCAAAGCTTTTTAGAATGCTATTAAGCACAGACACTTCTCATCCATATTCCTGAACATGAAACAATTTCCCAGGTTCACGTAGCAGTGTCTAAAATGAAAATCAACGTTACTGACATTCCTGATGAACTGCCAGAAAGTCAGATGAGAGACAAGCTGGAATTGAGTTTCTCTAAGTCTCGCAGCGGAGGCGGAGAAGTGGAGTATGTGGAATATGACAAGCAGACCCGGAGTGCCCTCATCGCCTTTGTGGAAAGTGGAGGTATTCCAGCACTCAGAGAGTTAAACAGTACTCTAGCGTTTAAACTATGCTTTGCCAGGTCTGAAAATATTTATTTCTCTACTTCTTTAATTTGGAATTTATTAGGTAGCATAATGACAGGCGTTTTTCAACCTTATAAAATGGTAGTGTCCTGAAAATGATTTTCCTGAATTCTATTAAGAATAAGATTAAAAATAACAAGTCCCTCCATGTTAGTGCCTTCCTATCACCTGCCAGGCATGGAGCCGGGTGTTTTATACGTATATCTCCTCTGATCCATAGCACAACTCTGAATGTAGGTGTTATATTCATTTTAATGATGAGGCAGCTAAGACACATGCAAGATAAATAGTTTACCCAAGATCACACCGTGGGTGTGTGGCAGAGAAATTTTGCGACTCCATGGACTGTAGCCCGCCAGGCTCCTCTGTCCATGGAATTCTCCAGTCAAGAATACTGGGGTGGTTAGCCTTTCCCTTCTCCAGGGGATCTTCCCGACCCAGGGATTGAACCCCAGTCTCCCGCATTGCAGGCAGATTCTTTAGCAGCTGAGCCACAAGGGAAGCTTATTTTATATATATATATACACTCACACACATATATAGGGCTTCCCTTGTGACTCAGCTGGTAGAGAATCTGCCTGCAATGCAGGAGACCTGGATTCAATCCCTGGGTCGGGAAGATCCCCTGTAGAAGGAAAAGCCTACCCACTCCAGTATTCTGGCCTGGAGAATTCCATGGACTATACAGTCCATGGGGTCACAAAGAGTCGGACTCGACTGAGTGACTTTCACTTTCACCACTTTCACACATATGTATCTATATGTATGTGTGTATATATATATATATATATATATATATATATATAAAACTGTCTCTTCCATCTCTCTTTTGACTATTGACAAGGGTCTCTTAGATGGAGGGAATCGTTCCAGGAAGAAAAAGGGGGTAATGGAGAGAAGAGCTGTTCCCTTTTTCAGTAGAAATGGACTTTTATCAAATCATCTTAGGGAGGTTTACATTATTATGATTAAAAATAAAAGATTCTCCCGCTGCTTCTGTTAATATGTTCAAGTGACTTTCTTTTTTATTAATTTATTTTTAATTGGAGATAATTGCTTTGCAATATTGTGTTGGCTTCTGCCGTATAACAGTGTGAATCAGCCATAAGTATACATATGTTCCCTCCCTCTTGAACCTCCCATCAATCCCCTACCCCATCCCCCGCAGGCTGCCACAGAGCACCACGTTGAGCTCCCTGTGTTAACGTCCCACTCGCTATCTATTTTACATATTTCAGTGCTACTGTCTCAGTTCCTCCCACCCTCTCCTTCCCCCACTGTGTCCAAAGTCAAGTAATTTTCAATAAAAAAAGTCTCTTGCTCTGGTTAGTTCTTAGGGCTCCTCCTGGGTTTATTACATATGATAGAAATCCAACCGCATAATTAAAAGCCATTGCCCGATTAGGTTTTTTCATAATAAAAAAATACATGCTTTTTAAATAAAATTGAAATAATAGAGAACATTAATTTAATAAAAATTGAGACATTTCCTTAAATTTCCAAACTTCCCTTTGTCCTGTTATGTAGTTATGGTTAGGTGAATGTTTTTCAAAATCTTTCTGGAATTGCTAGGTAATATGGTAATTCTATATTTAATGTTTGAGGAACCGCTATACTGCGTTCCACAGTGACTGTACCATTGCATTCCTACCTGCAATATATCAGGGTACCAATTCCTCCATGTTCTCACCAGCAAGGGTCTGCAGTCTTAATCACTGTACCACCTGGCTGAATCAAGGTGGACTGGTGAGAGGAGAAAATAAGTGATCAGATATTCTTAAGAACTGTTTCTGTTAAACTTTATGCAATCTTGACACATTAGCTGTTTCCCATCTAGGAGAAAAATGCTGCTAAAAATAATTCTGATTATTTTTTATGTTGGATAAAACCGATGAATTTTTTTTTACTTGCATTCATGTTTTCTGGATGACATTCAGCACCCCTCCTCCTTTGATTAACATCGTTACAGAGGTTTACTGAATGTCACGTATCAGTTAGAGTAATTTTATATATATCATAGTAGTATAGTAATTTTCCATAAATCTCTCACATAAAGATAGAGAGAGAGTATTCTAATTGTATTTTTCACGTATACTTCTTGAAAGATTGGGAAATACTGGGTTTTGTTAGGGTGGCTGTGTTACCTTTTGCAGATGGTTATCCCATTTTATGTAGCTCAAGGTGGGTCTATCTGAGGCCTTTGTAGCACACTGTCCATTGACTGACTGATAGTTTAAGATAGATGGAGCTATCTAAGTCTCATTATCATTTGGTCTTATGTTTTTCAAAACTATGTACTGTGAATTGTTTAAAAGGGAGTTTAGAGTTTCTTAAAAATTAATCACTCAAGTCACTGTTTACTTTGACATTCTATTTGAAGGAAGTTTTACCTTTGGTTAAAAATGTTTATGACAAAGAATAAAATGTCTATAATAAAGAAGAAAATAATTTTTAAAAATTTATTTCTAGTTGCTGACAGGATTTTGAAAATGAAAGACTATCCTCTTTATATAAATCAAAACTGCCATAGAGTTACAGTTTCTCCATACACAGAAACACACTTGAAAAAGTTTCAGGTAAAGTCATCTCTTTTCTTTCATTTTGGAAGCTAATTGCTTGACTCCCCACCCCCACAGAAATATAAAGTTATGATTCTGTTTTCATTTGAATCTTATTAATGAGGGATATCAAAATAGTTTCTTCATATCTGCTTGGTACAGGATGAATTTTTCTATTTTAAGAATACTTTAAAAAAATACTTTTTAATGTAAAACTGTACCTTATTTATTATTCACTTTTTAAAAACTGAAATTACTCAGACTATGGCACAATATTTTTGTATGTGAAGACATAACTACATTTTTCTCATATATCTACTATCATTGGGCATTAAAAATGGTTTTCCCTTCTTATTTTCTCTGAATTCATTACCTTTACTCCAAACCTGCTGCTTTTTTCTGTTCCTAATAGAAAGGTTATGTTTTCTGTTCCTCAAAAGGTCATCATGATCTACCTAGTCTGCCATCCTGAAAACTAGAACTCATGCCTAACTCTTGGTTTAACTTCACCTCCAACATCCCTTTAATCACTCAGTTTTTTCACTTCCACTTCTCACTACTTCTTTAACTGGTCTCTCTGTCCATAGAGTTGCCTTCTTTTTCTCCACTTGTCACAATTCTGCCAGAGTTATCTTTCTGAAACTCAATGTCTAACTGATATTCTCTTCCTTGAAAAATCTTCCTGAGGCCCCTTGTCTCTCTTAGGATAATGTCCAAAATATTGAGCAGAGCTTACAAATGTAAAGTTTTGCAATTCAAAGTTCTTAGAAAATTGCTATTTATCTTTTATTTTTCTGTTTTCCTCTTTAGGTATTTTCAGGAGTGTCTAAGAGGACAGTGCTTCTGACTGGACTGAAAGACCTTCAGACGACAGATGAAGAAGTTGTAGAGGATTTCATTAGCATTCACTTTCAGCGGGAGAAGAATGGAGGTGGAGAAGTTGAGGTGGTCAAATGTTCCCTCGGGCAACCTCACACAGCATACTTTGAAGAATAGACTGATGGAATCTATGAAAATTAGAGCTCTTGAACCCAACTTCCTGTCAGTGCTTGACAAAAACGAAAGTCCCTTTCCTTAAAAAAAAAAAACGAAAAATGTAATTCTTCAGCATTCGTTCATTCTTAGATACAAAATATATTTCTGTGTTTTTAAATTCTTTGTTTCCAACTGTGCTGCATGTTTACAAATGCAGTAACAGTATTAAAAACAGTTTCATTCATAGATTTTGTGGCTGGATGCCATGTCTGTTGAAAAGAACCGCAAGTCATCCAGTTGTCCGCCCGCCATGTTGGCCCCTTCTGTCATAATCTTGTGGGCTCCAGTCTGTTTTGGCTGTAGGTCCACCAGCATGCAGACTTGACTCTTAACATTTCCCCAAAGAAATGTTGCATTTTGCAGTTTGTAATTTCTGTAGACTTTACTGACTTCTCAAGGAACTTCAAGAGCAATACGTTTCCACTTTGTCCATCATTTCATCCCATAGCCCCAAAGTCTTTCTCAGAGCTGAGTGTGGCCTATCTCTTGAACTTTCACCCAGAATGCCAAGTGTCCCCTGATTATTTTCAAGACATCCCCCTTACCAATTGAACTTGTAAATACTGGAATTTTCTTTTACACTTACAATGTAAGGAGTCAGTTTAACGGATTGAAAACCTTGGAATAAAGAGAGAGTTAAGTGCAAAGCTAGTGACTCATCACACATCTTGGGAGATGCTGGGAATGAATGTTGCACCATACCTACCGGTTAGGGGCTTAAAATTTAGTTGGAGAGAGAGTGAGTTTATTAGCATCATGCTGTTTTTAACTTGCAGAAATTAAATGGGAAAATTCAAGGTTCCTATCAAAGAAGGTAAAATTCGCTTTGATAAAGAATATTTGGACAGTTTTAATCCTAATATGTTTCATGAAGAGCCAACAGCAGAATTAAATTCATATTAAAATGATGGCAGAAATGAAATGCTTTTAGAAAAGATTATAAACCTAAACCAATCCAATGCTGCCTGCCATCTAAAATAAACAAAAGGGAAAACTAAAGAGAAAAAATATTGGTTTTGCTTCTGATATTTTATTTTTAGGTTTTAAAGTTGTTATTGTGTGTGTGCTCAGTCATGTTTGACTCTTTTGTGACCCTATGGACTGTAGTCCACCAGGATTCTCTGACCATGGAATTTTCCAGGCAAGATTACTACAGTGGGTTGCCATTTCCTCCACCAGGGGATCTTCTTGACCCAAGGATGGAACCAGTGTCTCCTGCATTGCTGGTGGATCCCTTACCGCTGAGCCATTGGGAAAGCCCTTAAAGTTGTTATAGTAACATCAGAAATATTCATTACTCTCATATTTCTCTTTGGAATAAGAAATGGTACCTAAAAACTGGGCAATTTATGATAGATCTTTGTGTTCACCATTAGGGGAAATAAGATCTCTCATTTTGTCAGTTGTTCTTTGGAAATAGTAAGATTATTTCAAGCTTCCCAGAATATTAAGAAGAATTTAAAGAACCTCATTTAATTTTTACTGATACAGTCTCATAGCACAGAGGGTGTCATTTTGAGTCTGTAGCAGACTGCCAAGCAGAAATAAATTTTTTCTAATATTTACAACAAAGTTGGACACTGTCACTTTTGTTCCTCTGGGGGCCTTCTTTAGGCAGTACAATGGATAATTTCATTTCATTTTAACTTTTCACAATCGTTTTGATATGTTACTTTTTCTAGAAAATTATACTTTTCCTTTGGGTTCTTTCACCATTCCACCTAGTGTGATCTGACTGAAACTCGGAAATCAAGCATTGACGCACTTGCTTATTTCCAGAGTTTTAGAGATTTTACAAGAGGAAAGTTTTCTTTAAAAATTTACCAAAAAATACTGTATTGACTATTTAATATATTGCATATAATGTGAAGAATCCTTCAATTGTGCATCCAGAGTCAGCTAGCACCACTTACTAATGTGTGAAAAGATTTTGTCAGTATATGTCAGGAAAAGACAGGTATGTGACGTTACATGTGAATTTTGCTGTTTGTAGATTTATCAGTCAGGAGAGGCTAGGTCACACTCAGATAACACAACCTTCCAAGTCTTGGAGACCTAGCAGAATAAAAGTATAATTCTCACTCAGGCTAAATATCCAGCAGAGATTGGTAAGGGACTCTGTCCTGATCACTTCAGGCCCCATCTTGAGGCATGCTTCCAGAATCATCAAGGTGGGGAAGCTGAAGTCTGGAAAGTCTTGCACCAGAAATTAAATGCTGTGACCCGAAAGTGACCTGTGTTATTTCCTCTCACATCTCTCTGACCAGGAAGTCACGTGGCCTCACTGAAACATAAGGGGACTAGAAAATTTTGTCTTATAAAAATGAGAAGAACCAGATCTAGCTGAGCCCAGAATACTAATAAGGGTAGTCTGTGCTGTCCTACTGGTTATCAATATTTGGATCACTCTTCTTCACACACAAAATACACTCACCCCATCTCCAAGGTCAAACATCCTCAAATTTCACCCAATTGTAACATCAAACTCAAGGTGCAAAAACTCTTGGTGATATGTGGAAATTTCTATATCAAGTCTGAATGTTACTCCTCTTTATCTGGAGAGCCCCCCACACAGACAATAGTAGGACCAGAATAAGATAACTGCTCTCTTGCATTTGGAAAAGAAAGAATGGGAAGTACAAAGCTGTCACTGGGGCAGAGCCATTGTGAAATCCTATGGGGTTTTTGATGCGGCTGTTGACTCCCTGGAAATTCTTCTCTTGCTTATTGTTCTCGTAGGTCGACCTTCTTCTTTTTCCATTATTCTCCTGGGCCATATCTAGAATGGACATTCATAATATATTTTTCTTGGAGGCTGAAAAGCTTCCTCACTTGGTACACTTTCTATGATAAATGTTTGGGACCAAGTTTTTAAAGTTATGAACAGTCATAGTTTCTTTACCTGGGCCAGTGGTTGGTTAGCTGGTATATTTAAAAAACTTAATAGGCTTTTTCTCTATTAAAATAGACTAGAGTCTGGTCAGCTTACATATGCTAACAGCCATAACTTTGGTTTAGGTTTTATTTTCTTAGACTTCTGTTTTCAGCTGTGCTCAGCTGTGTCCGACTCTTTGACACCCCCTCTGTCCATGGGGATTCTCCAGGCAAGAATATTGGAGTGGATTTCCATGCCTTCCTCCAGGGGACCTTTCCAACCCAGGGATTGGAACTCAGGTCTCCCTCATTGCAGGAAGATTCTTTACTGTCTGAGCCATCAAGGAAGGCCAAGAATACTGGAGTGGATAGCCTATCCCTTCTCCAGGGGTACTTTCTGACCCAGGAAGCCAAACGGGGTCTCCTGCATTGCAGGCATATTCTTTACCAGCTGGGCTGCAAAGGAAGCCCTCTTTTTTTTTTAGAGTAGCTATAATTCTCTACTTTTTTGGCTCCCTTCTTCTCTCCCTGTCTTCACTTGATTTGAATCTATCAGGGCACTTATAGTTTCTTTTCCCTGAATTAGTTTGTCTAATTGAAAGTGTTTATTGAATTCCACAACCTTAATTGCCATTTTTACTCTGAGGGACCCTAACTTGTTCAGATTTAAACCTTGATTTGATCACTGATTTTATCCTTGCAGAAGATCTAATCAGCCTTTTTTACTCAAAGGTCTTTTCAGTTTTATCATTTAATAATGAAAAGGATTGTATGTGCAACTCTGCAAATTCCCATAGTTTTGGACTTTACTCCCTATTTTTCTTGCTTTCAAACTGGCCAATTCTTTCTAAAGCTCATTTCTTTCTTACATTACTTTGTTAAACTCACTGAGACATATGCTACTAATTCTGGTTTTCACACTGTGTTTAAAAAACAAAACAAAACTGAAAGCTAATAGGTACATTATCTGCCTTCCATGGTTTTACCAAATGTTTTCCCACTACATAATATGGACTACCATCCTAATCTCTATTTTTTAATCATCTGCCGCTTGGACTCTGAGCCAAAGCCAAGTGTTTTAGATTGTGTTATGGATTGTCTTTTTCCTTTTTTCCCCCTACAAATCCTTTGGAGGAGGAAATGTCAACCCAGTCCAGTATTATTGCCTGGACAATCCCAGGGACAGAGAAGCCTGTTGGGCTACAGTCCATGGGGCTGCAAAGAGTAGGACACGACTGAACACGACTGAACACACACACACACACACAGCAATACCCCACTTCAGAATGCTAATTTCTGTATTAATTGTGTTAGAATATGTGATGATGTGATAAATTATCTCTAAGTTTTAGAGACCTAAAACAACAAAAATTCACTTACTGTTCATGCTACATGTCCAGATGGGTCAACGAAAGGAATGCCCATGGTGGACACTCAGTGACCACCAACTTTATTGCTGGATGCAATGCCAGAGAAAAAGAGTTTTGAAGAGTCTGGAACTGACAATGAAATTCTTGGTCCAAATATGTTCCTTCCATTCACAACTGAACTAGAGCTACATATATGGCTCCACCCAACTGTAAAGGAACTTGGATATTCAATCCCATCATATGCTTGGAAGGCAGAAAGCCAAAACTGTATAGTGAATAGCATTAATGATATCTAGTTGATACTTGAAAAGGACACTTATTGTTGAAAAATACACAAAGTATAATGAAGATGATAAAAAATTAAAAGTTTACCCTCATGGATAATGGAAAATATTTTTATGTCCTCTTTTCTAGTTTTTCATTTTTTAATCATGTCACATTTATCTTCTGAATATATCCTATGCTATTATTTCCCCAATTGTTTTACATTAAGATTGTTTCCATTTTTTTCACACTTAGAAGTGGTAAATTGTACATAAACCCTTGTATATCTTGTTACACAATATTTTTCTGCAGTGCTGACCTTATCACCTAATAAGGTGATACTTATTAGGCTGATATGTTGAGGATCTTAACTTATGGCTTTTAAGTTAACTTTTAAGGATCTTAATTTATGGCTACAATTGCTTTCTGGAAAGGTAGGCATCAGTCCATACTTGTATAAATTGAGCAGCAAACGACTATCCCACTGCTGCACTTCAGCACTCACTGCTACACCTTTAAAAATAATTTTCTTTCTAGCCTATCTTTGGAAATCTTTACAGTGAATACCACATCTTATGAAGATAAGTAATTATCAAGATACAGGTGACATATCTAGCAATAGGCTTTGTTTTTGTTTTTCTGGTATCACAGAAAAATGACATTCAGAAAAATGTCCATCAATTTGATTTTACTTAAGCTGTGAGACAGAAAAAAGTGTAGTGAGACAGGAGGCTTTCTAACTGGGCCTATAAGAGGTTAAACGTTTCTCTTTTGGACGTAGTTTTAGTAATAAACTGCCAGAATTATTTTGGCCACATTTGGAATCATGCTTCCTCAGAGACAGTCTGGCACGGTGGGGGAGAAACAAGTTTTCCTTAAGCCTCTTAGGGTGCCTGGCTGGATATGGAAATTAAATGGACAAAGACAGATTAATAGAAGAAAACTATACACATTCACCTAATATCAGTTTTATGTGACATGGGAACCTTCATAAGGAAATTAAGCCCAGAAGGAATGGTTACACCTGAGTGTCGCCTTGCTAGAGTTGAAGAGTGATGCTGTAGAACGAGGACAATGATAGGATACAGGTTATCAGCTAAGTGTGCTTCCCCACTGGCTCAGCAGTACAGAATCTGCCTGCCAGTGTAGGAGACAAGGGTTCGATCCCTGGGTGGGGAAGATCCCTTAGAGAAGGAGTGGCAACCCACTCCAGTATTCTTGTCTGGAAAATCCCATGAACAGAGGAGCCTGGCAGGCTAAGTCCATGGGGTCATAAGAGTCAGACAGGACTCAGCGAATAAACAACATCAGCTAAGTGTAGTAAAAGGAGGGGAGATTAGTGAAGCCTATTCACTCAGATTCCTCTTTGTGTCTCTCTGTCTTTGGAGATCAGGATGTTCCTTTCCCATGGGTACGGGGAGAGCACCTCTCACATGAGGATTTTATGACCTGCTTCGAGAGAAGTTCAGAAAGTCCTTCTAGTACCTCCCATTTCCTTCAGCTTGGAATATTCAATATGCCAAGGAGTCATTTTGCAGGGTAGTGTATCCAGAATGCTATAAGCACATACATGTTGGAATAGTTGGCACATATGATGTTAAGGGTCAGTCTAGGCCAGGTTTGATTCCACAGGTGAGTTAGCCCTGCATTATTGACTCTGTTCTGAGAGATCTCTCATTATTTCCTGGAAAGGAAGGATCCCAACTTGGATTATGGTGTTCACGTCCATCTACAGTTAATCTTTGTTTCCACCTCCAGCCCAAGGCACTGCTTTTCTACTTTCTCTCTTCACATATTTGTCTTTTCTGGTTAAATGTGGCATTATGTGTATAGTTTTTTTGTACTTAGCAGGATTTTTTTGAGCTTCATCCTTGTTATAGCATGTATCAGTATTTCATTCCTTTTTATTTCCAAGCAGTATTACCTTGTGTGTGTATATATATATATATCTCAACATAAAGCATTTTATTTACCTATTAAGCAATTGATGGCCATTTAGGTTATTTCTGCTTCTTGGCTATTATGTATAATGTTATGAATTTTTGCTTATAACTGTTTGCTTGCATGTTTTTATTTCTCTTGGGGGATTATTCAGGAGTGAATTTTCTTGGTCACATGGTAAATTTATGCTTAACTTTTGAAAAATTGATCAACTATATTAAAAGATGGCTGTAACATTTTACTTCCCCACCAGCAATGCATGAGAGTTCTCATTTCCCCACATTCTTGACATTTGCTGTTATCTGTCTTTTTGATTACAGTCAGTATGGAGTGATATTTCATTGTTTTAATTTGTGTTTCTTTAATGACTAATGATGTTGAGCACATTTTCATGTACATATTAGCCATTCATGTATCTTCTTTGACAAAATGTCTATTCAATTTTTGTCCGTTTTAAAGTAGGTTATCTTATTTTTGAGTTGTAAGAGTTCTTTGTGTATTCTGAACACAAATCCCTTACCAGATGTGTGATTTCCAGATATTTTCATGGTGTTCTTTTATTCTAGTGGCTTGGATATATTAGTCAGAGTATGCTAGGTGATACTGCTGAAAAAAATTTCAGTAGTTTTAAACATCAAAGTTATTTCATAATCATGTAAATTTTGTTATGGGCTCAGGCAGCTGTGTTCTATGTGTTGGCTCACTGACACATGTTCCTTTCAATACATGCTTCTATGAGCACCAAGGCAAAGACAGCATTGGAAACTCGCAGTGAAATTCTCCCATCCAAATATGAGACATATCAATTCTCCTTACATTTCTTGGCTGAATGAATCATATGACCATGTCTACCATCAAAGGGAGAAGGCCAGTCCCTCCACATGAAATTAAGGACAAATAGAATATTGGTGAGCAGTATTACTGTTAGGGAAACCATTGAGCAAAACTGCCCACCCTGGCCAGGCCTGATAGTAAGCCCTTGCTTGAGTTATCTTAACTAACAAGCTACTACCCACCGGAAGAATTCAGGAAAGGCCAAAAGGAGAGAGGAGATGCCAGCCCATATGTCCTACCAATCTCCCAGAATCTTTCTTGCTGGATTTCATCTTGGCTGAGCAATACACATCACACAGGGAAGGACCCTGAGTCAGAATGATTGGCCAGAGAGCCTGGAAACTAATCCCATCACCATAAAACCTGACACTGTCAGCCACATGGCAGAGCAATTTTCCTGGATTCCCTTACCCTCTCACTCTCCACCCCATTGCCCCTTCCCAATAAAATCTCTTCTTCTGTCAGCACGTGTGTCTCCTCGGACAGTTCATTTCTGAGTGGTAGACAAAAGCCCACTCTCTTGCCCTGAAGGGGTCCCCCTTCCTACTACGCTACTATGTATTGTGTTGGTGCAGGTGACAGGTTAAGAAAAAAGAAGCAAAGGTATGAAGATACTTTTAGAAACAGGTGAGTACTATTAAGATGGAATAATAACTAGGGGGACAAATTCAGACTCGATGATCAGAGTCTCTCTGAAGAGGGCTCATTGGAGCTAAGGCTCCAAAGAAAGTGAGGCAGTTAAGTGAATATCAGGGAGGAGCCGACAAGGCCAAGAGGCAGAAGCAGGGCCGGGGAAACCCCCCTTGGTGGGGATGTAAATCTTATTCAAAAAGTGCAATGGAAAAACGATGAAGTGTTCGAACAGTGATCAAAGCTGATGTACATTTAAAAAATATCTTACTGGGTGTGGTATCCAGAATGAATTGAAGGGGAACAAGGCCGAAAGGCTGGGTTGATTTGGGTGGTAGAAATAAAGTTGGAGAGTGCGCAGTTAATGGGACGTACTAACCGAGCTAGGAAAAGAGGGATTAAGGAAGACAAGTGAGTCTTGAATTTAAGCTCCTTGGTGGGTGCTAGTGCAGTTTACCAAGAGTGAAGAACAGGAGGAAGTTCTCACTAAATTTTACATGCTTATCAGACATTAGAGTGGGCTTTTAAGTGTAGGGATCTGAATATAAAATATAAATTAGGGAATTACACATAGATTTACCTCATTGTTTTAAAATCTTCATAGCCATAGGCCTGGCTCACTAAATGTGCCATTGGCCATATAATAAATAGTTATATTCTTGGTTAAACTGGGTGGATTCCAGTGTCTGAAAAAAAATTGTATTACAAGCAATGCACAGTTAAAATTTCTGTACAATATCTTAGTTATTCTTGTGTACTGTAACTTTAGTTCAGTTCTGAAAATGGAGTTGCTAATTCTAAGGATATATACATTTTTACTTTTTTTTTCTTTTTTTTGCACTTTACATTTTTGAGAGGGGCCAAAATCCTTAGAAATGTTTGTACCTTGTCTAGGCTTGCAACAACACTGATACTTCCCCACATTGGGCAACAATGGGTATTACCAACACTTTTTAATTTTTGCCAATCTAATCCTCAGAGAAAGCGATCCTGTTCTGATTTCAGCTTGTATTTCTTAGTCGTGGAACTGGATTTCTGCATACTAGTCAGCCACCTGCTTCTCTTACTCATGCTCTCTTTGACTCTGAAGCTATGTATATAGATACCCTGTGTCCCAATAGGTGTCTGGCTGAGGAATCAGAGCACAGGGTGGACAGGGTGGTGAGCTCTTTTTTGGCAGGTACAGTGAGCCGTCCATCCTGCGCCCTGAGCACCTGGCTACTGGCCCTGGATAGGTGACAAGAAGAGAAACAAGCGTGGCGTAGGGAGAACAGGGCTAGGGAGATAAGGGCGTAAAGAAGGATCATCGCACAGGACACAGCCCCGGGGAAAATCCCCGCACTCCCGCCGGGGAATCCTCTGGCCGCTCTCCAGCTTGGTTTCAAAAGTTGCAAAACTCCCGGGGGCATCCTGACAGCCGCTGTCCCAGGTCCCGGCTCCCCGCCCGAGGGCCCCAAACCGCAGAACCGCGGGGTGGGGTGGAGGGGCGGTCTCCAAGAGAGCGGGAACAGAAAACCGAAACCAAAACCTGCCCGCCAGCCCAGGCTCCCCCAGCTCTGGGCCCCGCCGGCCGCCGAAGGCGAGTCTCTCCGCCGCCATGGCAAGTTGCTTTTGTTTTGGGTTTTGCAGGGCGGAGTGGTCCCCGTGCCGTCATCCGGTCCCCCAAGATCCGGAGGACGGGCGAGTGAGGGGTGACCGGGGGAGGCGCGAGGAGAACCCCAGAGGCAAACCCAGCCCAGCCTGTCCGCACCTGCCCGGGGGCAGTTCGCGCGCTCCTGAAATTGACCGCAGCTGGGCGGCCAGCCCCGAAGGCGCGCGTCGCCGCGGCCGCCTCGCCCACTCGGTGCCCGGCCGGCCGGGACGCAGCCGTTTGGTCCAGGAGCGGCCGTGTTAGGGCTAACTGTTGTCCTCCCACGCTTTGGGGAACAGGAGCGGAGAGAACTGCCTAGAAATGGAGGCCCGTTTTCCTTTGTTAAAGGGCCGGCCAGAAGGGTTGGAGCCAAGGACACAAGGTGGCAAAGCAGCCTGGTGTCTTAGGGGAATTCCTTTCTCTTGTGGCCTTAGTTCTTTCTCTAGACACAAAGGGCTTTGTGTCGTCATCATCTCTGATGCCTCGCAAGAACCGCTAGCAAATTTAAGATTTTAGCCTTCCGTGTTCTTTCCATCGGGGGGGGGGAAATCCCCTGGAGGAGGCCATGGCAACCCACTCCAGTATTCTCGCCTGGGAAATCCCATACACAGAAAGGAGCCTGGAGGTCTGCAGTCCAGGGGGGTCCCGCAGAGCTAGACAAACCTGAGCGACTAAGCAGGCAGGCGCCTTTTTTCCATCAAGCGCCTGAAAACAGTGTCAGGGCCCTTCCCTTTCAGGTGAGAAACGCCAAAGCAGTTCTGAGTTTCAAGTGTGATTTTGTTTACCGGGGGCGGTAAAGGAAACCTGAATGAAACCAATTTTAAGAAAAGGAATGTAAGTCAACAAAGTGGATAAATTTAATTATCTCTGCCTAGTGCTTTCCTTACAAAAATAAATTCAGTTTTTCTTTATATCTTTTTGCTTTCTGATAGGATGGTCAAAAGTCTCTTAAAACGTATCACTGATACAGGGAAAATGCCATCACCTTGATACCTCCTGCTCAGAAAGTTGCTCTTATCTCAAAAAAACTGTATCTCTATGTGATAACTGTTGAAAGGGCTATCTCCAAGACCTCTCTTTTTCTTCTTAATGTGGATGAAAGAGACGAATAGCCGTCTTTTGATTTCAAAGATAAATTTTAGACATTTGAATAAAGAAATATAACACTAGTATTGCTGAAGGTAGTGGTGAGGAAGTAAGATTCTGTGAATTTAAATTGAAAGTTTTTCTTTGATATTGATGAAGGACAAAAAGTATGCTTATTCATTAGCCACTTTAACCACGGACTGTTAGAGCCAGATGCATAGTGAGTCAAGACAAATCTTATATGAAACAAGATTCCCTGAATGTCTGAATAGTCTGTCATTTTTTTTTCCTCTTCTAGAACTATTTTGAGATAATTACACCTTACACTTGGGGCTAGGATGGAGGAACACATTTTTATATTTTTACTGTCTCCTGTGCAATCTAGTTGTCCCCGAGTATTTTAAGAAACTGTTTTGTTCCATTGAAAGTACCTGCCATAACAAAGAGTCACTTATGAATTTCCCTTTTAGGAGACACGAAGGACCTTTGCTTTCTTTGTCTCAACAGAAGCTATTTGCATCCCCCACTCCTCTGTCCCTTTGTTTTGCTGTGAACTCTTTTTGCATTTTTAATTAAATTTGACCATTAATTAAAATTTGACCTCAGCCGTCAAGGTCTCTCTCATGAAGCCTTCTTTGACTGCTTCAGCCAGCATTAATCTTGCTTCCTAATTCCGAATGGCTTCTATTGTGTGTTTTAGCATTTTCTTGTGAATGGTCTTGTATCCTTCTCACATTTTGGGGTGTTGGTCTGTTCTTGTAAAGAAGAAGACCTTCCTCTCTTTGTGCCTACCAAGCATTGCTAAAATGATTTATATGTGTGTCTGCCTCCTCCTCACCCGTAAGGGAGGTCCCCTTTGTGTGTGTATTGGTAATCCTAAAGCCTATCCCGGTGCCCCACACATAATAAATGTTCAGTAAATTATTATGTTTATGGTGGAACAATTTCAGGGTAAGGGGTGTTTTATAACGTGTGTGTGTCATCTTTGGTACCCAACATATTGCCAGGGATAGAACACATGTTTATTTAATACTGGATTAGTTAATTGATCAACTGATTGACAAGATATTATGTATTCTAAGAAATGCAGGTACATTTTTGCCACCCTATTTTAATAACTACCAGTTGAAATATCAAAGGAGATACTGAGAGATCAGTTATCATTGACTTTAGTCATTTCCTATTGAATTCCTGTTGTGATAAATGAGGATTTCACTGAAGTGAACTCTGACTTTTCCCCTCTTCCAAGTTTGGAAGTTTTAATAGTATTTTAAATTCCCCTATGGACTATTTTTGTTTCTTTCATAATACACTTAGATTTTGATAGTATTTACATGATCTTCTGTAATATAAGTATAGAGTTTTTTTTTTTCCTCAACTTCTGTTAGTTTTGCCTTTATTCTTCTATTGATAGGGTTGAATGATTCCATTTTATTCTGTAATCATATTTAAGTCTTCAGTAATTTTGAAGATTTTTACAGAATTCACCTAAAAGTTTATGAGAGTGTTCATATGATTATGCAAACAGTAAATATTGTTTACAGCAGGGTCTAATAGATTCTGAATTACTTTTTCTCCTTTTGGTCCAATGTCATGTGTATTTTTCCTTTTTCTAGTTACAAAAAAATATTCCTAACAGCTGTGTCAAATAGAGTCTTTATTTATAGTCTGTAATTTATTCCAAACATGTCATGCTTTAATTTTCTGATGATCTTTAGGCTTGGGCTTTTTCAAATACCAGAAAGGGTGGTAGGGGTGTTTGCCCATACTAGCAGGTCAGATTCTCCCTAGAATGTTCATTTAGTTTTGTCTTGCTGCTAGCTTTTCAACTAATCATTCTGGTTTTGGTCCCTTTTTTAATTTCTGAGGTTCTGCCAAGAAGGTTGTCCCCTTTCCATTGCAGCCTCCACTTCCTTACTCTGGGTTTCCCCTGTCATATCCTTCCACATACTTTTATGTCTTTCCATCTTCAAGAAATTTGTTGGAATCTCTCCTGTGCTGCTGATTGCTCCCCTTAACTGGATTTATTTTCTTTTTTATTCTATTTTCATTTTCATTTTAATGTACTCTTGGGATAGGACATTGTATGTGTGCTTAGACTGTTTTCTTTATCGGGGAGATCAGAAGCAGTTTGCCTATTGCCAGTAAAGTCTGACTCTGAGTTTACAGAGTCCTCTGAACTGAAAACCAAAACATCTTTGTGATCAGTCAACCATGACTTGGACCCATGAGACATCCTGTCCTCCTTGGGGATAATTTAGGAATAAATTATATCTGAGCTCTGGTGTAATCAGGCTGGACTACCTATACAAGCATTGGGAGAAGTTTATAGGTCCAGTTCTCTAAATGAGCTGGGGAATAAATTAAAACATTAATATAAGAAGTTAACAGAGAGTGTATTATAATCATGGGCTTCCCAAGTGGAAGTGAGAAATAAATTTAAGGGACTAGATCTGATGACAGAGTGCCTGATGAACTATGGACAGAGGTTCGTGACATTGTATAGGAGACAGGGATCAAGACCGTCCCCAAGAAAAAGAAATGCAAAAAAGCAAAATGGCTGTCTGAGGAGGCCTTACAAATAGCTGTGAAAAGAAGAGAAGCCAAAAGCAAAGGAGAAAAGGAAAGATACACTCATTTGAATGCAGAGTTCCAAAGACTAGCAAGGAGAGATAAGAAAGCCTTCCTCAGTGATCAGTGCAAAAAAATAGAGGAAAACAATAGAATGGGAAAGACTAGAGATCTCTTCAAGAAAATTAGATACCAAGGGGACATTTCATGCAAAGATGGGCTCAATAAAGGACAGAAATGGTATGGACCTAACAGAAGCAGAAGATATTAAGAGGAGGTGGCAAGAATACATAGGAGAACTATACAAAAAGATCTTCACGACCCAGATAATCACGATGGTGTAATCACTCACCTAGAGCCAGACATCCTGGAATGTGAAGTCAAGTGGGCCTTAGGAAGCATCACTATGAACAAAGCTAGTGGAGGTGATGGAATTCCAGTTGAGCTATTTCAAATCCTAAAAGATGATGCTGTGAGAGTGCTACACTGAATATGCCAGCAAATTTGGAAAACTCAGTAGTGGCCACAGGACTGGAAAAGGTCAGTTTTTGTTCCACTCCCTAAGAAAGGCAATGTCAAAGAATGCTCAAACTACCACACAATTGAACTCATCTCACATGCTAGTAAAGTAATGCTCAAAATTCTCCAAGCCAGTCTTCAGCAATACGTGAACCGTGAACTTCCAGATGTTCAAGCTGGTTTTAGAAAAAGCAGAGGAACCAGAGATCAAATTGCCAACAACAATTTGACCCAACAATTTGTTGGATCATCGAAAAAGCAAGAGAATTCCAGAAAAACATTTACTTCAGCTTTATTGACTATGCCAAAGCCTTTGACTGTGTGGATCACAATTAACTGTGGAAAATTCTGAAAGAGATGGGAATACCAGACCACCTGACCTGCCTCTTGAGAAACCTGTATGCAGGTCAGAAAGCAACAGTTTGAACTGAACATGGAACAACAGACTGGTTCCAAATAGGAAACGGAGTATGTCAAGGCTGTATATTGCTTATTTAACTTATACGCAGAATACATCATGAGAAACGCTGGGCTGGAAGAAGCACAAGATGGAATCAAGATTGCCAGGAGAAATATCAATAACCTTAGATATGCAGATGACACCACCCTTATGGCAGAAAGTGAAGAAGAACTAAAGAGCTTCTTGATGAAAGTGAAAGAGGAGAGTGAAAAGGTTGGCTTAAAGCTCAACATTCAGAAAACTAAGATCATGGCATCCAGTCCCATCACTTCATGGGAAATAGATGGGGAAACAGTGGAAACAGTGGCTGACAGTTTTTTGGGCTCCAAAATCACTGCAGATGGTGATTGCAGCCATTAAATGAAAAGACGCTTACACCTTGGAAGGAAAGTTATGGCCAACCTAGACAGCATCTTAAAAAGCAGAGAGATTACTTTGTCACAAAGGTCCGTCTCATCAAGGCTATGGTTTTTCCAGTAGTCATGTATGGATGTGAGAGTTGGACTATAAAGAAAGCTGAGCGCAAAAGAATTGATGCTTTTGAGCTGTTGGAGAAGACTCTCGAGAGTCCCTTGGACTGCAAGAAGATCCAACGAGTCCATCCTAGAGGAGATCAGTCCTGGGTGTTCATTGTAAGGACTGATGTTGAAGTTGAAACTCCAATACTTTGGCCACCTGATGCAAAGAACTGACTCACTAGCAAAGACCCTGATGTTGGGAAAGATTGAGGGCAGGAGGAGAAGGGGATGACAGAGGATGAGATGGTTGGATGGCATCACCGACTCAATGGACATGGGTTTGGGTGGACTCCGGGAGTGATGGACAGGGAGGCCTGGCGTGCTGTGGTCCATGGGGTCGCAAAGAGTCAGACATGACTGAGCGACTGAACTGAACTGAACCGAACAGAGAGTGAGCTCAGGGAAGGATCTGCTTGCAGCTGATCCTCTGTGCCCAGGGTTCCATGGTCTGCAATAGCGTGTGCTCTCAGCAGTTGGGTTGTATCTCAGATGTGTGCTGAGAGGTAGGGTTTACTCCACTGCAGTCCCAAAATTATCGCTAGGGTTTCATTTATTTATTTTTTTATGGTGACTTTTCCCTAGTTTTGACCAAAAAAAAAAAAAAAAGAGAGAGAGAATGTATTTCTTACTGTCTTATGTTCTTTCAACTCTACATTCAAGGAGACATACAGTCAACTCCAAACTACCACATTTTGTGATTAGTTTGACTTTTAAAAAAATTTTAATTTAGAAAACTCTCTCTTAATTTTTTCCTTCGTGATTACAGTAATTTTTAGGTCTTTCTAACATCTGACAAATATTAACCAATGTTTTCCATTTTGTAAAAAAAAGGGTTTACTTTTTACATTTTAACTCTAAAATTTGTATAGCATTTATGCTGGTATATGGTGTGAGGCCAAGCTTCTATCCTTGATATTTTTCTTTTCAGGTATCTGATCAGTTCCAAGAGGACCTTTATTAAATAAAGATTATTAAATAAAATGACCTTTCCCACTGGTGTGTAATATTGCCTATATTAAGTAGAATCATATAGTTAAAAAGTGTCCTATTGTTTCTTTTACAGGCATCAGCTTTGAATGTTAAGGAATCCAAAGCTTCTGAAAGAACAATTGTAGTTGCTGGTCTTCCAATTGGTCTTAATGACCAGTTACTGACCACATTAGTGAAGATTCACTTTGAAGATACTGATAATGGGGGTGGAGTTGTTGAAGATGTGACATATCCAACAAGAACTAAGGGAGCTGCATATGTAACATTCAAAGAAAAAACAGGTATTTGCAAATCAAATTTTTATAACCTTAGAAATACTTCTGGAATGAAATTAAAGATTGAACTTCAGTAGAGTAATTCATGAGATGGTTGGATAGCATCACCGACTTGATGGACATGAGTCTAAGCAAACTCTGAGATAGTGAAGGACAGGGAAGCCTGGTGTGCTGGAGTTCATGGAGTCACAAAGAGAAGGACACAGCTTAGTGACTAAACAATAGCAGCGACAAGAACAACAACAACAAAATAGTTCATGGGATTGGTAAAGTTTAAATTTAAAAAATAGTAATTCTATTCTTGAATATAAAAGTGGCCAATAGTGCATTAGAATATATGTGAAAGTGCCTTATGATAGAGTTGTCAGTAACTGGAAAAGTCTTAAAGACTTCTTGTTTTCTCTATTTTAAATCCATCTATATCATGAGATAAAGGTGATACACTTTATTGTAGAAAACTTGTAAAATACAGAAAAAAGCCCCACAGAAGCTATCCATAATCTCATGAACAAGATAAGTACTGCTTTATTAATGGGAAAGTTGGACTGGGGAAATATGGCTTGGATCTGAGGTCACATTGAGCCATTCTCTTCCTGGCTTATACCTGACATAGGTGAGAAAGTTGGGTCTGTGGAGCTGTTCACCCCTCTAGCTTCATGGATGGTGCATGTCAATGCCTTGAGAGAAGGGGGAGAAAAGGACAATTAGTGAAGGGGACTGACCAGGTCAGACAGTGAATCAGGAAAACCAGCTGGGATAGTGTGATACCCTGGATTCAGAAAGGTGAAGTCTCCTCATGACTATAATTAACAGAGTGGTGGGGGATTTACTTTTAGGTGTTATGTATGTAACATACATAACATACATGTGTTATATATATATATATGTATGTATGTATTATGTATAAATTTTAATATGTTAAACTAGAAAGAAAAAGGATTTAAATGCTGAATTTAGAGGAAAAGCAGGAAAAAATCTTAGGTATTTTAAAAGAACTGAACATCTCCATTACTATTAATTAAAATAATTATTACTGTATTGTGCCACAAACCTTTCTGATGGCCCCTCTTCCACTTAGTTGCAGAGAATGTCATCAGAAAAAAGAAACACTGTCTAGCAGACATGGTTGGATCTGCTCAACTCACAGTCTCCCATTTCAGTGAAAAGGTAGGTGTGATGGCTGCAGGCATGCCAATCGTCTAGATCCCATGTTTTCTGCCAAGTGTCTCCTACACGGAAAGCACAGAGCACCTCGCCCCATGACTTCTATAAAAGAAAGTGCAAGCTCCTTAACCTGGGTCAGTGTTAAAGGCCAAACCTGTGTCCTGAAAGGTTTTTGGTTATTACTTGTTCTGTTTTCCTGTTTTTCTATGATGCTCTTGATACTTTTAAAGTGACAGTGAGCTCTTATACTGTCATGGATGATGTCTGGCATCTACCTAAAAACTTATTTTGTGGGGTAAAAAACCAATTTGGATGAACATTAAAAAGGAGCTTTGAAGACACAAGTAAGGAGGAAATAAGAGGAAAATAAAATTCAAAGCACTGATTTAAAACTTTATTCTGTAACAAAGGTAGCGTTCTCTGCAACCATCCAATGAACTTCTCATGAGGAGGGAGGGCTTTCTCCAGGGACCCCTATCCATGGAGCACCACTGGAACAGTTTATCTGCGTTCTGCTTAAAACTTTGATTCAAAAAAACATTCTGCCTCTAAATAATATTTAATCAACTCTATCTGGGGGAATCCAGTGAGGAACTGTGAACCCCAATATCAAACACTGTTGCCTTGATAGGTTGTGGGGCCCCTTTAATGAGCAGCTATGGGGTAAGAAGCCAAACTGTGAGGCTTTGGAGGCCTGGCTCGGGCAGCTCCTGGGCAGACAGAAAGTGGCAAAACAAGAATGTATTTATGCAATCTTTCCCCTAGGTGGTGCTGTTTTAACTTCTCTGTTTAATTTTAGGTCTTCAGCTCTGTAATGGCTGTCCTTGATCTTTCTGTTTTTCGGAGTCAAATCCATCTAGAAAGTCTGGTAATGGACCTGAAAAGGGAAATCCCAACGTTATGCTTAAGTCCTTTGGAAGCCAATGGAAGAATCTCCGTTCAAGGAACATTTCTGGCTATCGAGAAGCTCAAAGAATTTTTGCTCTTAAAAGCAAGTTTTCTTTTAGAAAAAAATAGGAATAGACAGAGCCCCAGGGGAAGTACACGGAGAAGTAGTCACTCTTTAAAGCCACCCAGGTCGTTGACACCTGAGACTACGAAAAAAGGAGAAAGTCTTGTTCTTGACACAGATACTTTCCTTTACCTGAAAAAGAAGAGAAAAGTTTATGAAAGCACACTGAGAAAATTTCATGTTCTATGTCAAGAGACAGTGGATGGTGACGTTACCACACTTTGTATAAAGAAAGCTCAAGGTGGTTCTCAGCCAAACAATGAAAAACAGGTAAAAGAGTTCATTGAGAAATATTCACATGCTCTTCACTTTGAGCTTAGAAAGGAGACATTTATTTTAGAAGGAAAGGAAGATAAAGAGAAAAAATATATTAAGTTGGCATGTGAGCAGCTAAGTTCGAGTTACCTTCAGGTTCTGGTTAATTTCTATAAGACACACATTGATGTTATAGGACCTCCTTCTGACACATACCTGTTTAAAAAAGAGGTCATGAAATTCATAAGGCAAAAAGTTAGGTAATAAAATCCTCAGCAGTAGTAACAAGAAGGGCTGACTGATTCCTTCCCTTACTGAGCAGTGGTGATGTCATGTGTGATGCCCGCATTACACACATTATCTCATTTAATTTTTTTTTGGCAGTATCTCACAGCTTATGGGATCTTAGTTCCCCAACCAGGGATCAAACCTGGGCCCCCTGCAGTGGAAACGCCGAGTCCTAACCACTGAACTGCCAGGGAACTCCCTACCTCATTTAATTCTTGTGACCCTCTTTCACCATAGGCATTGCCATTCTCATGCTACAGAAGAGACTAGGATTTGGGAAGGTAAAAACCATTGTCTGAAGTTCTGTAGCTGTCCATCAGTAAGAGTTAAACCCAAAGATAATATCTAAGGTATAAAACTTAAAAAACTCACTAAACTTTGAGGAAGGCTCACTTTTTCTGCAACCCCAAATTCTTAGGAAAAAAATAGCCTTCAGTGAATTCAAACTGGGGCTCTGTGACAACCTCGAGGGGTGGGAGGTGGGAGGGAGGTTCAAGAGGGAGGGGGCATGAATATACCCGTGGCAGATTCATGTTGTTATATGGCAGAAACCAACACAATATTGTAAAGCAATTATTCTTCAATTAAAAATAAATAAATTTTAAACAGAGCCTTCATTCTAACATATAAGAAGTTTGAATGATTATTATTATGCCATTGACAATATTTATGCATTTATAAAGTTACATAAGCTTAACATTTATAAAGTTTATGTTTACTGCAAATAGAATTAAAATGTTAGCAAAACTTGCCTGAGAAGCTACTTAGATGGTAAGTATTTCTGATGCAGGTAGTCACTACTTGACTAAATCCCATATTGGTATAACGCTACTGGACATACAGGACATTTTTCCTGCCGCTTACTTAGCCTAAGTGCTTATATAAAATGTTGATCCTCTTGTTGAAATTATGTAGTGTCTATTTTATAATTGTAAAAGTAATAGCATTTCAGCAATAGGATTGTGGATGATGCGAATAATAGCAAACACTTATTTGCTAGGCATAAGTTTAAGTGCATTGCATATCTTTACTCATTCAGTTCTGACAGGAACCCTGTGAGGTAGGAGCTGTCTTTATCCCCCTTTCTCAGATGAGGAAACCGGTGCCCATTCATGTAATGTAACTTGCCCATGCTCTTGGTTAGTGAAGTGTTCTCCCTTTCATAGTCTTCTGATTGCTACTTAAACAATTGAGAAATGTTTCCTTAAAGATGACAGAAGGATTTGAAAGTTTTTTACTGAAGAAGGGAAGTAAAACTTGTAAGTCATTGGGTTGTCTGTGACTGTCCTGCATTTAATTTAGCATTAAGCCAGTTTTCAGTATCTGGGGCACTGCAGAGACCCTCCCAGGATTATAAAACATACATCTTGCTCATCTCAACATAAACAAACATGATTATGATGATTTGAACTGTTTGTAGCAGTAGAAAAGCTTAAGACAAACCTATGAGCTTTCCTTTTTCTTAGCTACCTAAATCCCAACTATGTAAATTATCTCCATTTCTTTAAATGTCTTATTTCATTTTTGTATGGCTAGACTTTTTGTCATGGGAAACTTCTGTTTATATTAAGTACCCAATACGGTATCTTTAAAAAGGTGCTTGATTTTCATTTTGCTTTTGGGGGCATTGTCTCAGTCTAGGTCTGATCTAGAGAGAGGAGGCATACAGTAATTTGAACAGGGAAAGTTTAAGATAAAGAATTGTTAGCAATGACAGGGAATTGGAATAATGAGGGATTGGCTCATAAGAAATAGAGAAATCTCTACCAGATATAGGAATAGCAGATATAAGGAGTTTAGATAGAGCACCCAATGAAGAACCTCCTCCTATCCACCACGCACCCCAGAACTGAAATCCAGACTTCGCTGGAGGGTTTGTGCCAGGGGATCTTGCTAGAAATCCATCCTCTAGGGTACTGGAAGAGCCAGTTCACAGTGTCTGACCAGGGACCCGCCCTTACAACATGCCTGAGGGGGTTCCTGCTGGCTGATGTGTACTACAGCTGCTGAGTCGGGGGAGGCCTTCTGTGCGGGGTGGGGGTGCTGGACGCGGGAGCAGCCGCCCGTGCTTCAGGGGCCTAACGTTGGAGAAGCTGCCTGTGCTGAAGAAGCTGGGTAGGTATGCGGGGACGCTGGATTCTGAACAGCCTGCCAATTTAATCCACTGAAGTAGGAACAAGACTTTCTTCCCTCAATGCCTCTCCAGCGCCCTCTACTGAGAAAGCCTAACATATTGTCAGCTACAAGGGGAAAATATTTAAAGGGCCCAGATGTGTTACTGAGCAGGCATAGAGGATGAATTTAAAGCTGAGTTAATAAATTGATAACCGGTGCAGCTATATTTGATACCTGCACGGGTTTTCATTATTACCACAAGTTTAACACCAATAGAATAGTCTTTCAGCAAAGAGCTGGGTCAGAGTGATGATCCTTCCTTGATTGGATAGACAGCTGCTAACTGGTTTACAGGTATGCACATTGCATCTTCTCTTTGAGAAGATTATTTCAGGTGTTTTACATATTGATGCCCATTTTAGAGTTCATTTAGTGACAGTCTCCTTATAATATGCTTGTGTAACCAATTTCTATCCTTAATAAAAACTGACTCTTTAATCTTCAAAATGGTAGTAGTGATTGTTATTAAAATTTATTTTTGAAAGTTACTGATACCTAGGAAGATAATGTGGATTCTGTTCTGTTGTCAAGCCTAAACCCTCTTATGTGTCTGCCATTGGGAGAAAAACCTGTCATTTAATTAGATAGTAAGTTGGTACTTTTCAAAGAGGCTGCAGATGGTGATAAGAGCCATTATCAAATTAAAAAAGAAGATGTGTGAGTTTCAGCTCTTGATGAACAAAGGAAAAGAGTAGGAGAAAGGACTCTGAAACATTTGAGTAAGAAACTCCAGGATTTTTGTTGTGCTTGTCCTCTGGGTTCTGGAGACAACAGTGTGACGTTAACAGAAATGTTCACTGACTCTTTAGAATTCAACATGTTAAAAAAAAAAAGAAGAATTCAACATGTAGCCTGGCAGAGAAAGAAAGTAAACATGCCATTACAGCAGTGGTTGCTAAACACACACAGAAGCACTTGGGGTAGAGTTGGAGAGTCAGTTCTTACGTATATGTTAGTCATTTCCTAATTTTTAGCATAATTTTCATGGAAAAAGTGTGTTAAAGTTTTATCTACCTTATTATTGAGAAGCAAATGATCATAATGACAAAACTGATTCAAAAAGAACATAAGAAATGAAATTTAAAAGTCAGCAGGAGAAAGCACGTTAGTAAAAATGGCTAAATTAGAAACAAAACTTGTCAATGCAATAAACCTGACTTGGAAGGTTGTTTTCTCAGATAAACAGAAAATAACCACACCTTAGCCGTTTTTTAAGAAGCTAAACTTCCAATTTTACAGAGTTGTAAAATATCATTGCCCTGATCCATTGTGATATTAAGTGAAATGAACTTATATTCCTCAAAAGAGATGACCAACAAGTGGGCTTATTAGAGCTTGTCTAGCATGGCATTAAAGGTCACAAAATTATTTTTTGCCTTCTCTTTGTGTTTTGAGTAATTTTCTTCAATGAGTGTCAGGAGAAGCTCCCAGAGCTTATGGATGAGAGCCTATGGATGGATGTTAGTCCAATGGAAGGATGAGACGGGAGAACAGGACAGTACTTGGTTTGGTAGATGAATGCCAAGTTTAGGGATGGCTGAATTTCTTTTTTAATGCTTTGTAAAAGAGGTCATTTATTGGATAAAATATAGGAATGCAAACACTGCCAAATCATCAGTAAAGATTTTACTCCAATATTTTCATTTTTCCAAATAATGCCTATTTACAAATCATGGAATATTTGTGCTTTTTCATATATGAAATTTTAATTTAATATATGGAATTTTAATTTGTAGAATTTTAACTACATTTAGCCATTCAGAAGTTAAAGTTCTGAGTACATTGTCAATATATAAGCATGTTACTATTCAGAAATTAAAAATACAAATAAACCTTGGACAGACAGTGCATTTTGCATTGCTTTTATGTTACTGCCTTTCTCTGAGAACAGAGAATCTCTCAATTTCCACTAATAACCTATATAGGAACTAACTGGATGGCTCTTAAAAATGCTTTTACATATAAATATAAAATCATACTTCAAAATGAGAAGGATGACTGAATTTTGACAGTTTTAGTTATTATATACAACTTATAACTTAGGGACAAGATTCTTTCATTCCTCTATAGAAAACTCACATATATAAAGGAGTAAAGGGAAGGAAATGTCAAATTTGCCTTGAGAATTTCTCCATCTAAACCTTGTTAGTGACAAGGTATGGAGCTCCCCAAAGACAGTAGTTTAAGCAATGTAACTGTCCTGTCAAAATGTCATTACTCTAGGAACATTTCCTGGTATGAATATTGGCTTAGGAAACTCAAGTGGGAACTTTTCCATATTCTCCACTCACCCTTTCCCTTTTATCTTTTACCTCCTCCAAACTGAGTGGTTCTGGAAAAGTTCCTCACTCCTCTAGCTTCAGTGTTCTCAGTTGTAATCTGAAAATAATACCTATTTTGCAGGGTCCTTGAGTTTTAGAAAACATGTTAAGCAAGAGATGGTCAAGAATAGTAGTTATAGCAAATTCACTGGCAGTCCGGTGATTAGGGCTCCACGCTTTCATTGATGACAGCATGGATTCGATCCCTAGTTGGCTAACTAAGGCACTTTCCTAAGCCACGCAGCACAGCCAGAAAAAAAAAAAAAAAAAAAGAGTAGTGGTTATCATCTTCAGAACTTGTTAATACCAAGAAAAGCTCCCTCTGCTTGGGATACCTCATCTTAGAGCTGGCAGCAACGTGTTACCCAAACTGGAAAACAAAGAGTCATTCTGGGTTTCTTCTCCTTTCCATTCATGTAGCTACCACCTTAGGTCAGGCCTAGGTCGTTTCTTGCCTGGTTTAGAGGGTTGAGTAGTATT